TAAAAATACCTTATATTTTTAAATAAGGGGAGTATGTAATTTTAATAACCTTGAAAGGAAATCATTATATTTTACTTTATTTAAAATAAAGAATCTAGAGATATAATTGCATAAAATTCTTTTATTTTAATTAAAGTGATATAAAAATATATAGATTAAAAATTAATTATTTAGCAATGTAGTTTTGATTTGACCACAATTGAATTCGTCTAATTTTTTGTTAGAAATGAATTCCTTGAATTTTAGTCTTTTGATTCCTTAATATTTAGTTATACTTTAATTTTTGACCTTGTTATGATTTACTTCTTTTATTAAAAAATATAAAGTATTTTTAATTAAATTTTACATTTTAATAAATTTGTTACTTACTTTTTAACTAACCCTATTTTTTTATACTTACCTCTATTAAACACCTTACAATAAATATAAAATCATTATCAATATAGGCATTTTTAAAAAAAAGACAATGATTACACTTCAAAGACTGAAAATATATTACATTTTTAAATATCTAACTCCTCAAAAAATACTTTTATAAAAAAGGCAATGAGGGAGTTGTTATTATAAGATTAAATATTTTTTATAGATTTTTTTTATTTTTTCATATTTTTATTTTATTTATTTTTTGTTCAAAAAGATTAATTTTTTAAATGTAAGAATAAATTGTTAAAAAGCCAAAACTTGAGAATAAAGTTGTTAAATTTATAAGCTCAATTAAACTTGTGAAGATCGTCAAACTCACGAGTTTAAGTAAATTTATTATAGAAATAGAAAATTAAATCGCAAACTTATAAGAATTTATTTTTATTAATAAATAGATATTAAAAATATATGATCAAACAATTAAAATATAAAATATCACCATAATTTGATTTAAATGTATTTTAAATATAAATTATTAAAATTGAAATCATCTACATTAATAGATTATTATACAAAACATAAAAAATTCAAAATAGGAAAACTCATTTTTGTTATTTTTATTTTTTATTAATATTAGTTTTTGCTTTTTAAGGTTTTTTTTTTCTATTCGAACTATGTTCTATCACTTCTGTGAATCGAGTTTTATAGAATATATACTTAACTTGCTTAACTAGGTAAAAAATTAACGAGCTTAACAAGTTTAATCAAGTTTGCATCTAATTTAAGTTTATGAATTATTTAACATGATTTTGTAAGTTGAAAATGTAAAAATAGTAAACTCGTGAGTTTAATTAAGTCTGTATCTAACACAAGTTTATGAGTGATTTGACACAATTTTGTGAGTTAAAAATATATAATGTTAAATTCAAAAAGTCAACTTGAGAGTTTGACTACTATACTTATAATATTGAGATAAACTGGAATCATAAACTTGAATAATAAACTCGTAAGAGCTTACTTTCATTGATAGATAGTCATTAAAATATATAATTAAATAATTTAAATACAAAATGATAATAATTTGACTTAAATATATTTAAAATATAAATGATTTAAATTAAATTCATATAGTTTATTATATTCAACTTATAAATTTAAATTAAAATGGGTAACTTATGTTAGTATTTCTTTTTTTTTTTTTTTTTATTATCAACTTTTTTTTTTTGCTTTTTGATGTTTATTTTTTTTTTTTTTGAGTTGGGTCCTACTATTTTTATAAACTAAGCTCTACATAGTATATACCTAACTCACTCAACTTACTAAAAAATTGAAGAGTTCAACTAAGCTCACCCTAGTTCAAGTTTATTAGTGGGGTTGACATAATTTTATAAAATAAAAATATAAAAATAGTAAACTTGAAGAGTTAATTCACAAATTTAATTGAGTTTGTATCTAATTTGAATTTATGAGTGAGCTAATATAATTTTATAAGTTAAAAATATAAAAGTAATAAACTCAGAAAATCAAACCCCACAGATTAACAATTCTTCAAGAGACTGAATTGACGAGTTAACTCCCTGGAATGGAGCTAGAAATTATTAAATTAATTGGAAATTGAAAAATAAAATGAAAAAGGCGGAACTGGGCTTCCGAGGCCATGGACAAAATGGTTGCTTCCTGACCACTCTCTTATAGTTTTAAAAAAAATCAGTATTTTCCAGAGAGGCCCCATGCCTCTCATACAACAGACGGCAAGCTCACTAGCTCTTCGCCATCATCAATGAATTAGACCAACACTTGGGACATGGCTCGTAAATATACAGATCAGAGATTAGTAATTAATGACCTTCAAGTTTTGGTTTCAGAAATATCACAAGCACACCACCACACAAATGGCATAATTTTAAGTGATGCCAAAATTAAACCATTGCATGATTGCTGATTTGCCAAACTACATATATGATGCTTATGTTTCCACCAATAAAAAGTTAATAAATCACTGTTCCTGTATAGTTCGTGACGATATAGATAATTCGCTGAATTATACAGGGAGATGGTCAATTAAATGACCCCAAGAGGACGTGAATCATTATGTGTTTGTGCTGCCTCCTTTTCTATCTTACTTTTCCCTGAACAGGAACGAGTCTATTTATTTTTTGCCAGACAAAAACAACGTGTCTTGGAATTTGGAAATTGATTCTCGTCGAAATTATCTTCTAAATCTGCCATGATCTTTTAAAAGACATCGGGGAAGAATCTTCATATGTTTGTCGCATTTCCTAATTTCTATGTCACGAGGAAGTTCATGATTTTCATGACGGATTTATTGTCGGTAACTTTTGAAGAAGCCAGTGAGAAGAAAGAAGCGGGGGGAGGGGGTTAAAATTAAAGATGACCAAGAAGACAAACTGAGGGGCTGTATACATCCTCGATGTGCGTCGTGTAATAAAAGCTGTCCATGCAAGCAACTACGATAGTAGTATGCTCAATGTCAATCAATGTACACGGATGTGAGAAACTCCAGGAAGCAATATTTGGCAGTATATACAACATCTAGATACTTCAATAAATTAGGATGATGCTACGAGTATTTAATCGGGAGTCTCAACAAGAAAATTGAGTTTGTATGTATAAAAAAACTCTCTCACATATCATAAAGGTTAATTTTTTTTTTGTTTGGAATATGTTTATTAGATTCTTGATATTTGATTTTTGAGGGACTGGTATCAAGACGAGGACTATCTTACAAGGATTCTAACACGTGGGAGGTCGAGTAAAGCATGTGAAGTGAAACCGAGAGGATGTTGGCTCGAAGAAATTAATATAATATTTGCATGGTGATATGTATACTCATATTGGCGATGTCCTTCCTTCCTTTGTATGAAACAAGAGATCAAAGTGACGGAAGGGACTACTAAAGGATGGGCGTCCACTCGTCTCAGCTGTCGGCTTCCACCTATCTCCGACATTAATTATTCATTCCCTTCGACCTTTTTTTCATATTAATAATTTTATTAGATACACTTAATAATTTTTTTAAAAAAATATAAAATTTTAAAAATACTCATAATTTAATATATTGAAAATAAAATGAACATAAATTAGTTATAGAGAGAAAAAAATATTAAAATTGATGCATTTAATAAAATATTAATTTATTTAAAATATTTTATATTTTGAGAAGGAAAAATTTCTTTAAAAATATCTTATAATTTAGGATGGAGGGAGTAATATTTTACCTAATTGACTCAATATATCTTTTACGACGCCCCCTCATATCAAACCAAAATTATTATAATTAATTAAATACGACATATTTTTGAAAAAAATTACATTACGTACTTATAATTTATAAAAAATTTAATCATAAATCGATGGATATATCTAAAAATTTTATATGTGATACCCTCGCTTTCGGTTCACTTTCCAATGACGCGAGCCATGCTTTCTGTAAGCTAGGTGAGACGGATATCACTCAATATCTTTACGGTGTTGTCATTGACATGGTTACAAACAAGATGATGGCCCTGATATAATGGGAATTGGTTTGGGTGGTGCTCATCTGGACCGTCCAGACAAGTTTTATTTACTTTTTTCATTTAATATTTATTAACATAAAAATTAATATTTTTTTAATAAATCTATCTTACCAACCGTAATGAATAACACAGATTTAATGTAGACATTTTTAATTTTTATTCTGATACGAAAAAAATAATGACTATCCACTTTAATAAATTTTTTTTTATTAATTTATTGTCCAGATGTATGTGAAATATTTTATATGTGATACCCTCGCTTTCGGTTTCCTTTTCCAAATGACGCGAGCCATGCTTTCTGTAAGCTAGGTGAGACGGATATCACTCAATATCTTTACGGTGTTGTCATTGACATGGTTACAAACAAGATGATGGCCCTGAATAATGGGAATTGGTTTGGGTGGTGCTCATCTGGACCGTCCAGACAAGTTTTATTTACTTCTTTCATTTAATATTTATTAACATAAAAAAATATATAATTTTTTAATAAATCTATCTTACCAACCGTATGAATAACACAGATTTAATGTAGACATTTTAATTTTTATTCTGATACGAAAAAAATAATGACTATCCACTTTAATAAAATTTTTTTTATTAATTTATTGTCCAGATGTATGTGAAATAGTTTAAACTTAACATTAAACTTTTTGATTTTTTTGAAAATTTTTATTTTAGTAATAATAATATTAAAAATAAATATAATATCTAAATTGACATATTAAATTGAGTTAAAAAATTTAAAACTGAACTGTCCAGAGCAATTCTAAATAATTAATTTATAAAAAATTTTAATATTAAATTAGATCATAAGATTAAATTTATATTGTCCAAATTGATAATAAAATAAATTTATTATTTTTTATAATTTTTATTTTAATAATTATAAAATACAAACTTGTTAAAGAAATGACAATATTTGGCTTAAAAAAAATAAGAAATGACAATATGTGTATTATTTTATTGGTGTCTAATAATGACATGGCTACCTCGGGTCTCGGTACATGTGAAACAGGATCATTGATAGGTGATGCGTAAGTTCAAAACAAGCTCTATATATAACCTCCCATGACCCCTAAGGGGTCTGTGCAAGTCCAAATGTCTCTCATAATGGCTTCTAGTGCTGACGCTGCCACCACTAGCTTGCTAAACCCTGCATCGGAAGAACCTAATGGGGCTTTGATTTTCTACTCTGACTTGCTTCGAAAGCAACCAAAAATGCCCGACGAGTTCGTTTGGCCTTCTGGGGACTTGGTTAGAACGTCCCAACATGAAGAGCTCAACGAGCCCGTCGTAGACTTGAGTGGGTTCACGAGAGGCGACGAGGCGACCATAGTCAGTGCGGCTGAGCTTGTGAAGATGGCCTGCGTGAAGCACGGGTTCTTCCAAGTCACGAACCACGGGGTCGACCCGGAGCTCATTCGAGCTGCTCATGATGAATTCGACTCCATTTTCAAGCTTCCCATCGACCAGAAGCTCAGTGCAAGGAGGAAACCTGGAAGCGCATGCGGCTACTCAGGTGCTCATGCAGATCGCTACTCATCGAAGTTGCCATGGAAAGAGATGTTTTCTTTTCAGTATCATCACAAAAACGACGGTTCCGATTCCGAAATCGTGGACTACTTTAAGTCCGTCTTAGGAGAAAAATTCGAAAACACGGGGTAAGCTCAATGAATCTCAGTATATATTAACATCACACGTATGATGCCACTTTTTTCCATCACAGTTTTTGCCAACTTCTTGTTTTTTTTTTTTTTTACTTCGATAATTCATTCTACTGTTCGAAGTACAGACGCGAGTTAAAACTAAGTCGCCCTAATTTCTGGGGGAAAGCGGAAAACAGACAAAAACTGTTTCGCAGATAAATTTTAAAAGCCTAGCTAGCGGAACTGACTTATGATCATCAGTGTGATGTCTAAACTATCTATATTTATCCAAATTTAAAATATTATTTTATTTTATATTTATTAAAACAAAAATTTATAAAAATTATAAAATTATTTTAATAAATTATTTTATTTTTAATTTGGCATAAATTTAATTTTAAAGATTTAATTTAATACTAAAATTTTATAATTATTATATATTGATTATTCAAACGTGTGATGCACAGTTCAAATTTTAATAAACTATAAAAATTTTAATATCAAATTATATTTTTTATATTAAATTTAAATCAAATTAAAAATAAAATAATAATTTTTATAAAATTTTATTTAAATAAATATAAAATAATATTTTAAATTTGGACTAACAAAATTAAAATCTGAATGGTTAATACAATGTCACACTGATGAGCACGTGAGCACGGTAGACGGATCCTAGCTAGCTAGCTAGCTTATTTCTGTTCCCACTCATGCTCCGCCGAGATCTATGAAATTTACTTTGGCCTGCCACTCACGACAACCGTAGCCCACAGAAAGTGCTTTACGGAACATGCGAACCAAATCATTTTCTTGTTTTTATCGATATAAGATGTCCTCGCTCCCTATACCACAACTATATATTTTCATTATTGATCAACTTGGAATGACACGTCTGTGCTGTTTTGGAATAATAGGCGGGTGTATCAAAAGTACTGTGAAGCAATGAAGGAACTATCTTTCATAATCATGGAACTGTTGGCCATTGGTCTGGGAATGGATCGTTTATATTATAGGAAATTTTTTGAAGATGGTTCGTCGTTGATGAGGTGCAACTATTATCCACCTTGTCATAGCTCAAGCCTCACCCTTGGAACTGGCCCTCACACTGACCCCATCTCATTGACCATTCTTCACCAAGACCAAGTTGGAGGTTTAGAGGTTCTTTCAGAAGGCAAATGGCTCGCTGTTCGTCCTCGACCCGACGCCTTCGTCGTAAACATAGGCGACACTTTCATGGTACATGCATCAACCAGTAAGCCTTTTCTTCTTCATTTATGTTGGTACATATCGCCTGTGTCTCTTGATCTGTTACAGTGCTGTGTGTCCACAAAGTTCCTGTGCAAGGCCGGCCTGACCCATAGGCCTGAGGCTATACAGAGTCACGTTTTTTTTGTACGAGGAAAGTAACAAATTCACAATTAGCATGCAGCTCATAACACATGCAGTACAGGATAGGAGATATTAAACAAATAATTCACCTTTGTCTGAAACTAACTAGAAGAGACAAGCTTTGTCAAGGCATGTTGAAGGCAGCTTTCAACATTTTCCTTGGTGGGATAGGAAAAAGTAGAAACTGTGATGAAAACAAACGAGCATAATGCATCATGTGTAATAAATGATGTCTTTGAAATTTTAAAAAATTGAGCACAAACGGCTAAGCCCCTGTTTGGGGTAAAGCAAGATTTGGTCTTGATTTTGATCCTGCAGAAATTTCCGAGAACCACATATTAGTTTGTTTTAAAATAATTAATTTCGTTTATGTTTATTATAATTACACTATATTAACGGAACATTAATTGCAGATCAAAATTAGATAGCATGATTTCATACTATTGAATTGACATATCAGCTTTTTATGGGCATGTTCCTCTATCAAAAACATTTGCTTATTTCAGGTATAACAACATGGCCCTCGATCATGATGGGATTATTAACTGAAAGGAAAACAAAAGGCTTGATGTGATATTGATATGGGCTATTATATTATCAGAGACGTGTTCTGTAATTTGGACCTATGTGAAAGAAAGAAAAGTTGATCTACAGATATTAGATATTAATAAGGACATAACTATTCGCACTCACTTGTTATATTTTCAGTTACAGAGATTGGCTTTTTTTTTTTTTTTTTTCTGGGGTGGGGGGTTTAATTATTAATTACTTAAGCTAATCTAAGTATATTGGGGTGTGTGTGTTAGGCGCTGTCTAATGGAAGATACAAGAGCTGCCTGCACAGGGCATTGGTACACACAGAAAAAGAGAGGAGATCACTGGTGTACTTCGTGAGCCCAAGAGGCGACAAAACAGTGAGAGCACCAGAAAATCTGATGGAAACAGAGATAGAAGGAAGGAAGTACCCAGACTTCAAATGGTCAGATTTGTTTGACTTCACTCAGAAGCATTACAGAGCTGATGTTGACACCCTCGAAAGCTTCATCCTCTGGCTTCGCTCTTCTCAGCAATCTCCAAACTCGGCATAGCTTCCTTGTGAAAACTACGTGATCTCTTCTCGTTCTAGTTGCTCTTTAGAATTTGCTCGAGTCGCCTGGGTGTCATGTCATGGGGGTACGTGCCAGCTAGACTGCGTTGTGCTAGTCTTGGCTCGTCTTTAGTCGGTTGATACGGCATGCTCACAATCGGACGAATGCAGTTATCCTGTATATAAGTGAGTGCCCACTTGATGCAAATACTTTACAGTGTTCTGTGCTAAAATATCCGCTGACGCACTTAAATAATTATTCAAACGAATAAAATTCTGGCTTATTAATTACTAAGCGTCTGACAAAAGATGTGGATGAAATTGATCACCCCCAAATCAGGAGCGAGAGTTTATGCTTATGAACTTGGTTTGGATAAAGGAACAAGTAAGAAGAGAATAGAAAATAAAAAAAATGGAAGGGAAGATCAATTTCCAAAAATTAAACAGTATTTTTTTAAAACTATTTTAGGAGTTTTTCTTCATAGTTTTTTTTTAACTATTTTTTCCATCTAAACGGAAGGATAATACAGAGCCATTTTAAATTTTTTCTTACTCAATGCATGTTTTATGCATTTGAAAGATTTTAATTGATAAGATCGTCCCGAGTGCAATATTTGGCGAATCTCTCGTAAAGGGTGGACCACGAATAAGTTAGGGGCCACAAACATTCACAGCAGAAAGGCAGCAATTATTTAAGCAGAATCTGAGGAGAATAGGAGCTAATGCATATGCATGCTCTTGTTCTCTCCAAGAAGTTGACCAGACGGTGGCCAATAACCCACTTTTCCTCACTAGTTCAGGACATTAAGATGCACCCAGATTTTTTTAAAAAATTCCAACTTATTTTATTCAATAATTCTTGGGGATATAACATTTGAGAATCAAAAGAAGATTGAATTAATTTCATTTTAGGACCAACGGATTTAGAAATTCCAAATCATGACCAAATTAAGGTTTTCTTTCATAACTTGAGTATAAGAAAATTACTAAAATATCCTCATTATAAAAAGAGAAATATGACTCTATGCTAAATTGGAATTAATTCTATCAACTTTTGGTCCCAAAATGTCATTTCCCCATAATTCTTTAAGTCAATTGTTACATTTAAGAAATAAACAATGCTTGATCATTCTAAAATACTGACTAGTCTAATAAAGAGCTATAAATTTACTTAAGATTGAATTCAATATACACCCATGCCCATGTATGTATACAAGCGCAAAAGAAAGTCATGCTTTGAGTTTTATATATGAATACGGCATACACATATACTATCTGATGCAATCATTTATCCACTCTTTCATGTGAGTTTAGTTCAAAATTGATGCAGTAACGATATTTTTCGTTTTGAGCGAGGATACATGCCATTCAAATCGGCTTAAGATGACATGTTGAAATAGGATAAATAAGAATGCAATTCTCACGTGCACCGCAATTATTTGGCTTTGAACAGATGCATTTTGAATATGGCATTAAAATTTGGAGGTTGTGCGGATCGGTCAGGGCAGCATTAATCTTTGTGTTATGTGTCAGGCTATGAAGGAGAGTAACGATTGTAAAGAGAAATTTTCAGGGCACTTAATTAATTGCTCTAATATGGCTTCGATACGAAAATGCCAGTAATTTAATTAGCTAGAAGTTATGGAGAATCATATATAAGGACTTTCCAAAAGAATTATTCATAAAAAAGGATCAATATGAAATGGTTTATTGTCACAATGATGATGAAGACTTGTTTTTTTTCTCCCAAAATGACGATTTATTGTTAGTCTTTATTTATGAATAATTTTTTTAAAAAGTCATTAAATGTGATTCTCCTTGTGCAGTTTAGTGAATTAATGGCATGATGATCCTAAGAACCTCATTTCACATAAGGATGGCATATATGCAATATTTAATGTTCACAAGTAGTACTTCATACTTGTCTTTACTCTCAACCAACAATATTTAAAGGTGGTCTTTTTTATCACTGAATAGAGAGACTAGTTAATTTGATAAAAAAATTGTTAGAATTTTGAATTTAATTTTCGCCTATGATAAGTCATAACTCCTAACATAATAAGTTGACCAAAATTTGGCATTAATGTCTGATTAATAACTAAAAAAAATGATTTTCTATCATAATAATAATGATTATTTCAATTAGCATATTTCAACCATAATGAAGTGAATTAATGCCTAGTGGATCTTTTTTGTATACGGAGGCCTCCTTTCACTATAAATAGTGATCAGAGGTTAGAGGTATAATCATCCCAAAGTAAACAATTATCTAGTTTACTTTCATTCTTCCTCACTTTTTGATACATCTGCTGTGCACTATAATCTACACTTTTATAGTTTAAACTCGTGTGGAAAATCGGGTAGATTTTTCTATGTCTGGATTTAGTGAGACTTTAACTTGACTCTTTTTATTCGATATATTATTTATTTTAATATTCCTTCAGAGATAAAACCTGTTCTTGTTCTGTGGCTGAAGGCAATATCGTAATAATAATCTCTTGCAGCTATACTTGTTAACGTCATCACTAAGATCTCACAGATAATTTCCAAGAAAGAGCTGCATGTATTCACTTGATCAAATCATCACATGCATGTATGTCAATGAATTTACAATATATTCTATCATCTAATGGGATAATATATATACATTTATGCTTCGCTGGAGAAGGAAAATTGATAATGTCGACTTTGGTCAGATATATAGATTGCCCCAAGTTATGCTAGCCATGATTTACATAAGACAAATTCAAATCTTCTAATCTTTTTCTTTATTATGGAAAAACGAGGCAAACTTGTTTTTGTTCAAGTATTAATTCACGTAAACGTAACAAAATATTTCATACATGTATACCTATCTATAACAAGCAGATTGAAAATTTCCTCGAAAATAGGACTATATGGGTTTTACCAGTGCCCCACGGAATCTATCTGGTCCTGTTTGATAGAATTAGGAGAGAAAGGCAGGGAATATGGCTGGCCAGTGGGCACATAGGGAGGCTGAGAAATTCGATTTGCGGAAGAATATACACTACTTAAAGGTAAATTATTATTGTTATTACTATTATTTGTTTGGTCTTGGTGGTGATGGTGGTGGTGTAGCCTATGTTCAGAACGTTGTTGTTTTGGAATATTAAGCTTCTCTCCTTCTATGTCTCTGTACTTCTGGAGATAACATTTTAAAGGGCCCACGTAATCCTCAAACCCTAGGGTCGTGATTGCCCATATGATATCATCCCCATTGATGGTCTTCCTCTTCTCTCTTTGGCATTTATCAGAGGCTTCCCCCGTGACGAAGCTGATGAACTCTGATACACATTCCTGAACTGTCTCTTTAGCGTCCTTTGAGATTTTTCCATTCGCAGGCATCACTTTCTTCATGATTCTTCCCACATTGGCTATAGGCAGAAAGCGATCTTGTTCTTTGTTATTGCTATTGTTGTTGCTGCTGCTGCTGCTGCTTGATATCTTTAAGCAAGGGCTTTCAGGGCTTCCTGTGCTGACCCCATTTGGCAAATTGTTGTAGCTCTCATCTTCCATCATCTTAGAGAGATTGAGCGGTATTGTATGAAGCTCGTGGAAGAGAATAATTTGATATTGTATAACTGTGGGACACAAGAAGAACTGTAAGAGCGGCATGAAAATAGGCAAGTAAAGTGGGGTTGGACTAGTAAAAGTAAATAGAATTTTAAACAAAAAAATTTAAACAATAAAGCACAGTTGATTTTCATCCGTGAAACCCCCCGGGACTCGCTCTTGATGTGGAATTGCCACGACCCAATCCTTCTGATAGATAGATTATATTGCACTATTAATATGAAATGAGGGACGTGATTATTTTTCATAACAGCTTACGCATTGATAATCTCTCAGTGTACAATCTTTCATTACCACCATCATTGTATTCTCTAATTTTTGAGTTGAAAACAAAATTTATCTATTTGTAATCTACTTTTGGAAAGTCTCTTGAGACATTTTATGGGTCTGTTCAATTCGTTGAGGGGTGAGGCAAGCCAACAAGTAACAATTGAGGGGCTATATATGATTTCTCTCTAATGTTGTCGGACACGATAACCACATCAGTAACCAAATCAGAAGACTATTTAAGTCGCATCCTAACGTCAGAATTAAACGTATTTAAGTTTTACAAGATTATGCAGAAATGTCATCACTTCATAGAAAGTTAATACTTCACTTGCTGAAGCAATTACATAACTGCGTCTTTATATTTCACAATTTGACTAAGAATCATCAAACATTGACGCTAGCAACATTGTTGAGTCCGGTTCATGCTGCCTAATGTGGCGTTGCTGATTCCTCATTGTAACTTACTAGTAGACTGGTAGTAAAAAATTATCATTATTAAAAGACCATTATAAGAAGAAACAACATTTGTAGACTAATAATAGGATATTAATAAGATATATAATTAAAATGACACAATTATGTCTTCTCTGAGTACTCCACCATTAACCTTGAAACTGATAAGGAAGAAATCCAATCTCTAAGGCTGAAAACAAACGAAGCATGTCACTACTGCGGTAATGCTGCCGCGTTGATACAAGAGGAACATGAGTATTATCTTCTTCTGATCATATATGATCATATGAGCATCAATTTTAAAAGTTTAAAAAAATATTGTCGTCGTATATACGTCTGACATTTGGAAAACCAGCAACAGTACAACATATAAACATATCGAAGAGTTTGCACTCGGACTGAATAAAGCTGATCAGGCTGCACATTCCAATCTGAGGCGGTACTAACGCCAGCTGGCTGATGCAACGGCTTGGGCCATCACATGTGAATGGTGATTGATTGAGATATGCTACGTCCATGTGACACCATATTATATCCCTGATTCCCTTCCCTACGTCCACATTAAATATAAATCAGATCGAAATAGTTTTCCTATTCATATTAAATATTAATGCTCATTCTTGAAATGAAATTTAAACCATTTAAATTTTAATTTAGATGGTTTAAATTTTAAATATCATTATATAATTTTATATTATATTTATTAAAATAAAAATTGTAAAAATTATAAAATAATTTTAATTTTGAGGATCCAATTTAATTTATAAAATAAATTTAATTCATATTATATTATATTTATAAATTTTTTATTTTTTATCTGATTTATATTTAATTTAGAGAGTCTAATTTGATATACATTAAATTATAAAATTTTGATTTTCACCAGTGTTATAAAAATTCTAATTTTCATCAGTGTTACTCTTTTTTAAGCCAAGACTTGTTTCATCAATCATCACACTTTAAAAAAGTGCATAGAATAAAAGCTTTGAAGCTTCATTTAAGATCTAAGAGCCAATAGGTGATGATTTCAATAATTTTTCTCTCGTATTAATACTTCAGCTGGTCTTTCAGATCCACTAATATCGCTCCGGCGCTACCTTTGCTTTCTTTAAAAAAAAATATTGAAGAAACCACAAGTCTAAGTATCTAACATGAAAACCACCACCCCGCTCTTTGAAAGGAACACGAAGTGCTCCAATTTGTACCAACAACATTAACATATAAACCTTCCAGCGTCTGAGGTATTTTTATCAGGGCATTGCTCGAGATTTGAATTCAAGTAATAAACCCTAACCAGTACCGAAGAATTTTACTAGGCTTCTAGCAACCAAAATGGGCTTTACAATTGCAAGAACGCAATCAAACTGACAGCAATACCAACAACGTTAACGAAAACAAGAAAATAACCCTCTAAATCGAGGAGATCCAAATCGACAAGCTTCTAACAATACTTATCCTACCAAATCTGCACCCAAAATAAAATTAAATAAATAAAACAAAAAAGTCACCCTCCTACGGTATCACCTTGTCGATATTTTGATCACGTTGAAGATCTTTAGGGAGAGCAAGAGCATATAGGATTGTCTCCCTCTTCTTAGGCCGCCACGTGGACTTCTGAGCGCATAAAAATCCATTCTTATTCTTAGAGTAACTAGTGAGGATCTCCCAATGCAAAGTCTTCACCATCCCCTCAATTTCCTTAATCATCACAGAATTGTCGCGAACAAGGAACTTTCCTCCTGGCCTCAGAATCCGATCAACCTCGGTGACGACACCTGTCAAATTACAACTGGACAGGACACCATATACAAGATTTATCAAAACTAGAGAAAACAAATTTGCTATTGATCTAAGAAATAAAGAAGCTCTACCCACCTCTTCTTAAGCTTCGAAAACAGATTATTGGCATGGAGGAGATCATAACTCCTAGGATAAGTGCTGAAAGATTCGCACCAATCATGATATATGCCAAAAAGGCCGCGTTCGTAGATAATAGGAAGAGTGTCAGCCGCGTCTATTGAAACCACATTCATGACCCAAACGTCTAAATCCCTTAAAGCTGCAGCGAAACTGCACGCGAAAAACAGTTAGGCAAGAATCAAAGGCAGGCTGTAGTGACAAGATATCGTGAAAAGGGAAAAGAAAAGAAAAGTCTTGCTTACCCTCCATAGACAGATCTCATATCCATGACATTCCTAACTTTTGACCAATTAACTCCAATCCCATTTAGATAAGACCCGGATACAATATTTTTCCAGTTTTCATAATCAGCGGTAAAATCTTCAGAGGCAGGCTTTCCATAAACTCCAACTTGGGAACTCAACAACCAGTAAGGTGGTTTGGACAGTCTGGCTGGCCATTCCTCTGGCCATTTATATCCACGCTCAGTTGAATTCTCAGGTGCTTTGTGCATGCAAGCCTGTAATGGAACGTTCCTGTCACATTAAAGGTAACAACATCTATTATAAACTGGTTAAATGAACTTTGGCAGATAAAAATTATAATGCAAACATTTTTCATTTCTGGCAGAAGGAAACATGTCTCATTTTTATAGGCATGTAAAAATGTCTCTTATAGTAGTACAAATGTTCCTAACGTTTAAAAAACCAAACAAGAAAAAAAACACCTGACAGTCTGTTTTACAAAGTTTTTTTCTGCTATTGCAACCAACGTATACTTCTTTTACCCCAATTGAGACCCGATCAAAAAACTACAAATATATCATTTAAAGAAAAGAAAATTACCATGCTGCATTAGGATCATCAAAGTCTGGACAGAGACTAGGCTCATCCTCTAAACGTTTCATGTAGCACTCATTAGATTTTGGCTTCCTGTAAATAGCTATACCCACCTTATTCAGTCTATCCCTTTGGATTGACACAACTTCCCAGCACATTCCTTTTGTTAGCACTTTCATGGCTATAAATAAATTAACAAGACAAAAATGTCAGAATAAATACACCTTCAAGCTAAAAGAGGCAGACAAAAGTTATTTTTACCTACCTTCCCATATTTCAACATCTTCAGCTTGCCTCTGATAAACAGGAGTAGCAGACCACAAAAACAAGCCACCAGGTCGCAATACTCGATTCAGCTCCAAGAGAAGCTTACCACCTGCAGTTGCACCAAAGGAAGAAAAATAAGCTTCCTAAATAAAAGCTGTCATGGACTTACCAACATAATTATCTATGCAAGGAAGTAATCCTAAAACTAAATACCGATATAAAGAGGATGAAAAATGCTATTGCTGTACCGAAACATTAAATTTGAATGAACATTCATCTGATTGCCACCATAAGCACATAAGAAGTAATCAAAATAAATGCCTAAATGAAGGTGATTAAGACAATTCTATACAGAAACCTCAAACTTGAATTGATATGAGTTCATCTAATAACTAAAAACAAAAATTAGGGCATTGAAATACCTTCTACATGCCATGGCACTCTACAGCGTGCGCAATGGACAGCATCGAATACTTTTCCAGGGAAGGGAAGCCTCTTTGTGCCCATGACAGCTGATATAGCGGGAACTCCTCTTTCAAGTGCAAATTGTACCTGAGCTTCATGTTCATCCTTTGGCGCAAATGACATAGTGAGTACATCCCTCTCAAAGAGAAAGCCTCCAAAGCTGGCAACACCACATCCAACATCCAATACCACACGTGTGTGTTTCCCCCACTCAACTTCAGGTACAGACTGCATCAAACTTCCTTATAGTTAGCAAAATGCACAAAAACACAAGAAAAAAAACTCAGAACTGTCCATGAAAGAAAGCAAAAAGATTTCTTACCATGATATGTTGCCTATTTTTTCTTATTGTATAAGAAGGTTTTGGAGATTCTATTTTAATATTTTCCTTTATTTTGTCACCACCAAATGTGCCACATATGTATACATAAGGCAGTAAAGGTGTCATTTCATTCTATCAGTTCCCAAAGAAATTCATTGCCTTTTCCACATCTTGTTTACTTAGCATCTGAAATTTTCTGGCTCTAGGAACGATATAAAATTAATAGAAAACATCAAAGAGTATTTCAAAAGGTGATAATAATACCAATGTTTTTCCACAGAGGTAGATAAATAGTCCAGGCTAAAAATTTTCCAAATAAATGGCCATAAAGTCTGTGCATCATGAATACTACAGCACATGATATATAAGGTCAGTTGGGGCATATATCCAGCACTAGCAACTCTGAACCTTTTCTTGTTTTTCCTTTATTTCTTTTACAACTAGATTTCAATTAGAAGATAGATATGAAGAGCAAGAAAGAAAAAGAAAAGAGTTGTGTAATGGGTGAGAAATTCGAGCAACAGATCAAATAAGAGGATGCGCCATTTGTTACTGAGCATGTGATATGGATTTATAGAACATGCAGCAAAATGCACTCCAGGTCTATATTGATGGATATTAACCTTTAAAAATGACAGAGTCAATGTTGACAAGAGACATGAACATGAATATATTACCTGTTGTATAAAGTCAATGTAATGAAGTGCCCCATGCTGGAACTGAGTTCCACCGCCAGGAAAAGTAAGGTACTCGCCAGCCATTTTTACCCAATTCTGGTGACCCTTGTATTGCGCAAGCATCGTATGCGGAACATTGTGATACCATATCTGCAGGAGCAGAACTTATTATTTCAGGGAGGTGTAAACAACCAAATAGAGAACAACAATGAACTAGGATTTGAGTAAATCCTGGCGCCCTTAAATTCAATGGGCAAAGTGCGTAGAATATGGGTGAACCCACAATTGAGGGGAGCTTATAACTTAATAGGAGAGTATGCCGTCAAACAAAATGATAAAACTGGCATATTAGTAAATTTATACCTTATCTCTGCTTCTAGGCCACTCAATCGGAGTTCTATATCCTTCAGGAAGAGGAACAAGGCAGGTAGGAGATTCTGCAGGACAATGTCTTTCTCGATGTTCATAGTGCTTGGTAGTCCGGAGATTTCTAATTGCTTGCCAATTGTCAAGGCATGGGATGAAGTCAGGACCAGAAGTGACATTGCAAAGTTTCCAATTGTATACACTAGAAGGCTGCTTAGATAAATTTTGAGACTCTTTTACACTCTTTGACTCTGATGCCTGAGTTGAAAAGGACCCAATTCTAGTGGTACTTTCATTCAAAAGTTCTGACTGCACTCCAGAAGGGTACACTGCCTTTGAACTCTGGCTCTGCACATAATCATCTGTTTTCTTCTCACTAGAACTTTCATCAGACTCATTGTTAGTCCTTTGTTCTACCTTCTCTTCTATCTTACTATCTGTTGTTTCACTTGGACCATATGATTGATTTTCATTTCCATCTGAATTGAACTTTCTATTATCAATAGAATCAGACTTATTCTCACCCTCATAGGAATCAGATTTCTTTTTAACTGTATTATCTTCAGCCTCTTCCATATTAGAAGTTTCCTTCTTATCTTTGTTGCTCACTGTGTATTCAGGGACATTAGAATTACTTTTAGAGACATCATCAACCATGGTTGTATCCACAGGCAAATCACTTTGATCATCTCGAAATTGTTGAGAATTGCCCTTGTTTCTGTCATTCACCTGTTTTTCAACCTCAGTCTTTTCGCTTACTTCATTCTTACTCTCATGAGTCGAATCTGCATTTTGGACAGGAACTACAGAGGATGATGTCATCATCCAAACTCCAACCAAGCATAAAGCCACAAACACAACAGTCACCGTCGACCAGTAACTTGATGATGATCTTCTATTGTCTATTCTCAAATATTTCCCCGAAGCCATTTGGAGTGCACTTATTCACTGATAATTTAGACCTAATCATGAAGAAAACATCAATTAAACACCTCTCACATTGTAGGCTCAACTGCAGGCATCACTTGGTTGTGAAAAATTTACACAATTAGCTGGCAAAGTGGTAAAAGAACATCACATGAAGTGCATTCAATAAGATTTGCATCAGATTTGCTTGAACAGAGACTCAAATAAGATCAAACACATAATGTTTTTAAATCTGAGATGGCTTGCTCTTCAGCTTGGCATAACATACGAATAATCTTATAATATCATTATATTAAAAGGTAGGTCTGAAAGATTTGCATCTCCCACAGAATGCTGTGGCTTTTCAAAAGTTATGTTGTAGAATTTCAGGCGTTGTGGAAGAACATATTGAATGTTGTTTGGAAGAAACGTTATGGAAAACTACAGCAAACTACTTTTTGCATTTTTGATTAATAATGACTTAGAGTAGATAATGTTAAAAACCGCCCTCGGTATCAAAGTTACTTAATGTATATATATTAATTGGTTGAAAAGATATGGTTTAAAATATGGTCAGGATCATAGTTAGAATTAGAATTTAGAAGAAATCAAAGTTTTTTCCCGTCAGGTCAACAGAAAGTGTAGCTTTTAAGTTGTTCTGGAATAAAACATGTTTAAAAATAAAAAAAGAAAAGAAAAGAAAGGACATTGTTTCGACGTTTATTGTCAATAAGCACTCTAACCCAAACGCCTCATAAATTAATTCCGTACAATTATTAAAAAAAAAAAACTAAAATTCGACGGAGATGCTGGAATCAAGCTTAGATACGAAGTCATCACGGAAACGTGATGAACTTTACAGATGAAACAATTTGCGAGTAGGGTAAGAAATTTCAGTTGGAAACGACAACAAGGATATACAAACGGCTCGAAAGAAAGTTTAACAGAGGCACCAACCTTATGCCGAAATGTCCACTATAGGTAGGATGTAAGACACATGAGAATCAACTCCAAAAAAAAATTAGAAAGACAGGACCAGTACCACATTGTATACCAACAGAAAATAAAAGTGTAAAAAAGTCCAATTCGGAGCACCAAAGCAGAGTTTAAACCAAGATATAGACATGACAAAGAAAAGAACAAAAGAAAAGCAAGATTAAATGACAACAGAAAAAGAAAAAAGAAAGGAAAGGCAAGCAAACAAGATAAGCGAGAAGTGAAGAAACAGAGGAAGAGAAAAAAGACTCCCACGAACCTTGGGTTGCTGGGTAGCACGCAGATGAATCCAAGTAGGATGAGAAACGGCAACGGCCGCTATATCTCCATTGCAAAGGATGCAAAGAGAGAAGGATATGAAAGGAAAGGATAGGCAGGAAACACGGGAAGGAACAGACAAAATGGCTGGGAAGATATGCGATTTTATAGCAAGAAGTAATTGCACCATATATGGTTGCGGGTAAGGACATAAAAAATGATACTCCAAAATACAAGCTTGAAATGGATGAGAGAGAGATGGAGGTGCGAGCGTACCTCTGCGACTGAAATTGAAAGTGGGACAATGAGAGAGAAGCGGCCCCCGTAAAGGAAAACCGAGGGTGCGGGTAAAATATTAGGGAACAGTAATTTTGCTCATCGTTCCGTCTTTGATTCTTCAGGGTTATGCAATAAGAGAGTTTTCTAATTTTTAAACATTTAAATAAGAATGACTTTTTTAGTACATGGACTAGAATTTTTTTGTCAACCAATGTCCTCGGATTCTCACTGCTGAAAGACACTACTGAAGAATATTAGAAGTCGCACTTGATTCACGTTAAAAATAGATTTCTCTGGTATTGTTTAAATAAGATGTAACCTGCCGACCACTGCCAGACCGAAGACGTCCTTATGAACAAGTATAAAATCAAGTGCGATCGTGTGATGGTGTGTTTAGTAAAGAAGAAGGAAGATTGTGTGATAGCGTGATTTCATATCATACCAGGATCGTTCTACTTCAAAACAAATTGGTGACTTCGTTGGAGGTATGTTTGATCGTTAACGTTGTTATGCCCAACAAAATTATACTTGTAGAAATCAAAACAAGTTGTTTACTGAACATGGTATTGTCAGATTAACTTTCTTCGGTGGCGCAAAAAGGGGAGGGAAATCACTTTCTTTTCATTTGATGGGTTCGGTCGTATTGGTAATGGCCCAAAAAAATCCGTCCTGTCTCGATCTGTCTTTTTGAATCTCGATGTTGACTACGGCAAACGACAAAGTAACGAGATTAGCCCCAACTTTTAACATTTAGACCCGAACCGAAATGTTAAGTGCTGCACCCGTGAGCCGTGACCTGAGGGGCCGGGCCACCCATGACAACAACTGCTTCAAGGGACACCACACCGTCGTTCATGAAATTAGGGCTGTGCAAAAGTTTTTCAGTCTTGTCTGATTCAATCCAACTCGAGATGGTTTCAGTCTTGTTGGTGTATAGTCACTGGTCCTTCAGAACCAAAAAAACTAAAAAGACCAGACTATTTTTTCAGGTTGGACTGGACAAGAGACCAGGCATCCGGACCACTGTCCGTCAGTCTATAATTTTTTTATTATAATTATAATTAATTATTTTTGACAAATGTTAAAGTGTAATTGATGCTAAGGAGATGATTGCATAAAGATATTAGTTTGTTTCTAATTGTTATTGTAATATAGTGTTATTAAATTTTGTTAAGTACTGTTTTGTTAAAGTTTATAAATTTAAATAATTAGACTATAACAAAAATATTTTTTTTCTTATTGTTAGAAATTATTATGGATTTATTATTATTATGTTTTTACTATCTTAATTGAGTTTATTTATTGGATGGGTTATTGCCTCTCATGGAATAAAAAGAGGGAAAAAAACTAAGTGAGTATTGGACTGACACCAGTCCTCCTTTAATCTTCGGGTTATCACTGAATAAGACTGGACTATGAGTTGCCTAACCCAATTTTTTTCATGAAAGAGACCAGACTTTAGGTTAGGGTGAAATCCAATACCATCCTGTCTTTTGTGCAGCGATACATGAAATGCCGTCGTTGGATTTATTCCTCACGTGTCCCCACATGTGATGTGGATTTAGGGCCCGGTGATTCAGGGTACATACCCTACATTTCTATTTATTAATTATAGACTGAATAGCTTTGTCCAGAGTTTTTGACTTTTAAAATTGACCGTGATTCTTATAAATAATTTTTAGAAAAATTCTATCATTAATCCATGTAGCTTCGTCAATTTTTTTTAATTTATTTAACATTTTCAAGCTTTATAATTTTAAAAAATTTTGGTGACCCTTTTTTTTAAGTTTTATAATTTTAATTTTTTAATATTTTTAATCTATATAAAATTTAAAAAAAAATTTCAAAAATTAAAAGTAGAAATAGATTTAGGGGGCTAGCAGGGGTGTTGACCCCCCACAAATACTCATCTCTTTATAAAAATTTATTATTGTGTTTTATAAATTGATTAAAAAAATTGTGTACATAAATCTTGCCCCCCCTTAAGTTGAAGTGAAAAATTGGCCACCAAAAAATAATCCCAGATCAAAAATTATATTTTTTTCATTATTTTTACCAACAGATTTTTTTATGAATTTTATTTTATACATATGGATAGATAAATATGTTCTTGGACGTTGAATTATACTGAAATAATAATGAGAATGGATAGAAATTTCAAAGTTAGACTTTTGGGATTTACAATACGGAATCTCAAGAACCCAACAGGGATTCAAGTGCAAAGGACATAAACGCGGGTGAGTTGGACGAAATGATGGACATGCACGAAACCACCAAGCTTGCGTCTCAGGCATTCACATGGCGGGAGCTTCACTTGCATCAATGATCAATCAAATTGCCTTTGAATTGGTCATTTAAACACTTCGTACTTTGTCATTATAATTCCTGCCATCGGCTTTAATTTTAAATATTGAAACGGCAAAAGTTATATGTTTAATCTTATATATTTAATGTATTTTTATTTTATCAATCAAATTAAAACAGTGGATTTTAATATGTTAATATGATATTAATAACAATTGAAAATGATATTAATAAATTTTTTTGTTATGGATTGAATGATCTATAGATAATATATATGTTTTAATTTAATTAAAAATAAATATTTTAAATATATAAGGTAAATATATAAATTTTTCCTAAATTAAAAATGCTTTAACCGCTACTAGTAGAATTTTCCTTGTTGTAAGCCTTTTGCTGCCTTTCAATTAGGCTGCAGGTAAAGAAACTGGTTACTTTTTCGTCAGCCAAAAGAAAAAAGTTACTTTTTCAGTCAATTTATAAATCAAATTTTTATATTTATATGTTAAATTTCTTATAAGTGAAGGAGACTTGTAATAGTTTTTTTTTTTTGGTCTATAACTTACATGTAAAATGCGTGATATTTTTTATGCAGAACACGAAAATTATGAATACAAACAAAGAAGACGAATGAGAAGTTAAGCTCTTGATGGCTCGAAGAATTAGCTACCCCAGATCCAATCAAATAGGCAGATTAAAAACTCTATATTGAGTTTAACCATTGATTGCAGCTATTTTAATGATAAAAATACTAAGACAAGGGAAAATCTCAATTTAACATAAACTTTAAGGTTAATTACAACAAAGCACTACTTTAAAACCCAGACAGCTAGAATAGTTAAACAATCACCCAGAGCAAAAAACAATTTAATTCAATCATTTAGCCTATTTTAATAGTTGATTCGGTTAGCTCATTTTGATCAAATAAAAAATCAAGACCCAGAACGGTTAAATTGCTTTAGCTCCTTTTTTTAATACGTGTGTGTATAAATTATTATTTTTATTTAATTATTATGTTAATAATTTAACCACTATCTAACTAATTAACCCATGAGACTTACAACCAACTGATATTTTTTGTTCATTATCTAGTCCAATTTTTAAAACATTGTTTATTAGAAAAGCAGAAAGTTGATCTACGAAATTCACTGAAGGTGCTGAAAATGCCTATTTGAAGTTCCAAGTAGCCATTCTGTTATTTTCTGGTCAAGGAAAATACAAAGGAAGCAAAGGTGACAAATAAAGAAATTAGTAACCTTTTCAGTGAATTTATAAATCAGATTTTTACATTTATATATTAAACTGAAAAAAAAACTTAAGGTGTTTGTTTTTAATTTAATTAAATAAAAACATGTATATCTATTGCATATTATTTAGTCTATAATAAAATCTTGTTATTAGTATTATCAACATAATAAAATCTATATGTCTTAATTTGATTGGATGAAAGTATATTAAATATATAAAAGTAAGTCTTATCCCACTAAATTTTAGTATCTATAAGTGAAAGAGTAAATTTTTTTTTAATCTATAACCTATATGTAAAATGTGTAATATTTTTTATGCAAACTATGAAAATCATGAATATATAAAAAAAATAGAACATATAAAAAAATAATATTATTAATCACGAGTGAGGCGGGCAGTATATATACTGCACATTTTTATTAAAGAAACCAACAAAATTTGTGTTTGTAGGTCCGTCCCTATATCAACAAATTAAACATGTAGGAGGACTTTTACATACATGGGAAGTATTTTTTTTAATCTCCTAATTTTAATATCATTAGTTTTAAATAATTTTTTTGTGTTAATTATTGTTATTTTAAAAAATAAATTTCATATGTCAATTTTTTAGAATGTTTTGCTAATATTGAGAAGTTTAATGTAAAATTTTTGTGCAATAAAATTAACGATATTAAGGTTAAAAGGCTGAATAAATTTTACAAAATTAAAGAATTAAAATAAAATATTATATAAAATTAAAAGATTAAACATATGCTTTAGCTAACAAAAAGTTGATATATGTTTTTTTTCCACACGTTTTATGAAAAATCTGAAAGATATTTTCATGGATTATAAATAATGTAATTCATTATAATAATAATAATAATAATATAGAAGACAAATGTGCATGTCAAGTGCAAAACAACTTTAATACAAATTTCTTATACGACTAAAATTAAACTCCATACAAAATAAAATTACTATTAAATCTTCTAATTTACCCTACAAAAGGACTAAAACCTACGTTTAAGAAGACAGTAATTTGCATGGAAAGGAAATTAAGTTCCATTTCTCTAAAGCGAATCGCGGAAGTACGTTGGAAACCAGAAAAAAATGGAAGGTTTTAATTTTGATAGTAATTTTTATCTTGAATACATAAATAAATGATTATAAAATGTGATTGAACATGAAAAAATTAAAATAACTACTAAAATCTCAGGACAGTTTCATATAGTGAAAACTTCATCGAAGATAAATTATCGATGAAAACAGTGATCACGTCCGAATTCCTTCTTGCATTATCAGTTACGCAACAAACTTTTAATACATCGGCGAGATATTTGATCATTTCAATAGATGCAAATAAATAAATAATCAGATCATGGCCTTGATCATTTCACTGCATGACCAACATATATTCCTGCTGATCAATAGGTCAAATTTTAATCGGCATGCCTGTTGCCTGATGAATCTGGACGCTCCGACGTTTACAAGAGAACCAGCCAACAAGGTGCATTCAGTTCTTCTCCTTCCGGCTAATTCCTTTTCCACTTATATGCTATGGATCGTTCTGTGATTACGAAAGCGGATTTACCTAAACTGAACCACCAACAAAACGATCAGGAGGCTACAAAAAAAATTCTGGCATTCACGCTTCTTAAATGTCTGGTCAAAGGAAAAAAAGCTTCTTAAATGTACATAGTCTTGTAGTTAATGTCGCATTTCCAAATTTCTAGCTCGTGGATGCGATTTTTAACCTTCATTGGTTTGAATTTTAGATTTTGTTCCAATCAGATGGCCACGACTATATATATTGTTTAATCTCGTCAGAATGCAAGAACAGAACAGAAACTTATTGCGCTACAGAAGTATGCTGATTAGAAATGTTTGCTATTAAATTTTCACTGAATTTATAATCAAGCTCCGGAAGGACCAGAAGAGCATCTAATGGTGATATTTCGTGGTGGCACTGATGAGCATTTTCTAGATTGCAAATACCAGTGGGTGCTGATGCAGTGGCAGAGATGACAGGAGCAGATATTTATGGCTTGAGAGGGAGGCTTATTTCTCTAGCTCTGGTTGCTCTTGTCCTTATCATCACGTTTCAGTGGACATATAAAAATCCATTCGCCAGAACGTCTCTGTCAGCCCAAGAGTGGTATAATATGCCTTCTGCAGGTTTGCCTTCAGGTTGGATTTGATCGCTACATGGGCACTTAATTTAATTGTTCATCCACTTTTGTTTTAAATAGGAAAAATATATATATTTGGAGGAGATACAAAACATGAGGATCATTAAGTGATCCTCCCTAATTCTTATAAGACAGAAAAATATTCCCTGCACCCGGAAATATATCTATATGCGCTAGTGGAATTCCTTCGAATAGTATGGATATCTGTTGCTTATATGTAAAGAAACTGTATCTATCTTGTGGAGAATGCTTACCTGGAGAGGCAGGAGAGCACAGACCTACACACTCCTACTCAACAACACATCAGGAAGGTTATTTCAGGCTCGTAACAAAACTTTTGCTAATTCTGTTGGCATTCAGTGATTTATAGAACGAAACACAATTTATAGAATAACCAGCGTCCTCGGACTTTCTTGTATCAATGAAGATGTTTATAAAAATTTGTTCATTGCATGAGTATGTATATGCTTATACTTTCCAAATTGACAACAAGGATTCAAAACTGCTATCATTCTTTCGCTTAGGATTGCTTGATGAAGCCCCAAATAATGCAATCAAAACTGCAAATTTGACAAAAGGTGAAGAAAGCTCTGCAAGTTCCGTCACAGAATTTGAAACTATTAACTTCGCTGAGAATGTTCTATAATACTACCGTTGCTTAGGATTGCCAGCTGAAGCCCCTGATAATCAAATGGGAACTGCAAAGCGTGCTCAGGGTGAAGAAAAATCTTCAAGTTCCGTCATCGATGTTGAAACCAAAGATCAACTTGATAATGTCAGTGCAGCAGTGGTGCCTATAGATTTTATAACAGCGGAATCTCCTCAAGTGCAACACGCTCGAAATATTTCCAGCGGCCAGGGTAGGTTCTTTTTATTACTTTTCAATTATTATAACGAACATTTGGAGGTCGCTGCATGAAGGGGTTTCTGTATCATTTGCAATTTACCTGTATTGGTCATTTATGCAAAAATAATTTCTGACAATGTACGTAGTTGGGATTGAATATTTGGCTATTTAAATTATTAGTAATGGCATAAATAGAACATCAAGTTGCCGAGGATTTAATTACATATTACTCTTTCGAAGATTTTCTTATTATTTAACTCCTTGTTGTGTTGGTATGCTGTTTCCTTGTCTGACTTCCTTTTTGTGTTGGTGTGTTGTTTCCTTGTCTGACTGTGTAGCAAGTTTGATATATTTTGTCTCTCTCTTTCTTAATTGAGCATTAAGTATCACTTCACTGTCACGTATTTTGTAAAAGACCTCCGCGAATTTTGATTCCTTTTAGCGACAAGCAAAGCGCGCAGTTCATCTACTTGATGTAATTTTGTTCCTCTATATATTGAACTAAAACTAACTCTATGAGTATTTTTATTTTTGAGATGCCAAAAGGACCAAAAAAAGGAAAAGCTTTTGGTGAGAATCATTTTGTATACCTTTCCAGAAACAAGAAACGAATACATAAGCATGGCCAATTTTCTGAGTGCTCCAAGCTGAAGCCCCCGGAAATCAACAAAATATTCTGCACTGCACAATTATTTCACATACCTGTGTATTGATTGAATCTGAATGTCATCACCTGTGCAGTCTGTAATTACGCCAAGGGTAGATGGATTGCAGACAGCAGGAGACCATTGTATTCTGGGTTTGGATGTAAACAGTGGTTGTCAACAATGTGGGCATGTAGAGTGACTCAGAGACCAGATTTCTCATATGAGGGATTCCGCTGGCAACCTCAAAATTGTGATATGCCAGAGTTCGACCGATCTGCATTCTTGAGAAAGTAGGTATAGTCATTTATTTCCCCGATCTAGTAGTTGTATATAGCTCAACAACATTAAGATATGGCTGTGTCCATGAATACCAATTTGTAATTGCTTTTTTTTTTTTTTAATTGTACTTACTGTTAGTTCGATCTCTAGAATGCAGGACAAAACAATTGCATTCATAGGAGATTCATTGGGGCGGCAACAATTTCAATCTCTGATGTGTATGGCCTCTGGGGGCAAACCGAGCCCTGAAGTTAAGAATGTAGGATATGAGTATGGTCTTGTTAAGCGCCGGGGATCTAGTCGCCCTGATGGCTGGGCTTACAGATTCCCCAAGACTAACACCACAATTCTGTATTATTGGTCATCCACCCTTTGTGATCTGCAACCCCTAAATATCAGTGACCCCTTCACCAATGTTGCCATGCATTTAGACCGCCCTCCAGACTTCATGACTCGTTTCCTTCATCACTTTGATGTTTTGATTCTCAATACAGGCCACCACTGGAACCCTGGGAAGCTTAATTCAAACAGGTGGGTTATATATGTTAATGGAAAGCCAAATGAGATGAAAAGCTAGCACAAATGGAAAATGCCAAGAACTTCACAGTCTTTAGTGTTGTGAAATGGCTTGATTCGCAACTCCCATCACATCCCGGACTCAGAGCTTTCTTGAGGACTGTATCACCCAGGCATTTCTTCAATGGGGATTGGAACACTGGAGGTAGCTGTGACAATAACATCCCATTATCTCACGGAAGTGAGGTTGGACAAGAAGGATCAATGGATGTAACCATCGAGGGTGCGCTAAAGGGTAGAAAGATTAGAATACTGGATATAACTGCTATTTCACAATTGAGGGATGAGGCTCACGTCTCGCGTTACAGTACGAGAGGAATCCTCAATGCAAGCGATTGCTTGCACTGGTGCTTGCCCGGAATTCCAGATACGTGGAATGAGATCCTTGTTGCTCAGATATAGGCCCACAACCTAAGCCCACCGGCCCAAACAAAACAGAGAGAGAGAGAGGGTATTATACCCAAAAAATAATACTTTTTTTTTTTTATGATCAATTCCATCGTATTTAGTATACGTCATATTTATTTTCTATTTTTTAAAAATTTGGTGGTACTTTGCAATGTAAAAAAATTTAAAATAAGTGGCAATTTATGATTTATAAAAAATGTAACTTGTCAATTTTTTAAAATTATTAGAACATTTTAAAATTTAAAGTATGAAATAAAATTTAAATAAAAATGTAAATATTTTTGAAATTAAATAAAATGATGATGATGATTTTATGATACACTCTTCATTAATTTTTTTATTTAAAATTTAAGATATGATAGTATGATATGAAACTCATGCTGGCATAGAACGCCAGTGGGCCTCATGAGAGACAACATTTGGTCATTGTCAGTTCATGCACAATAATACATGGAGTTGGATTTTCTCTTGTGTACCAAAAAAAAAAAAGCAGCGGAGGGATGAGTATGGATTTAAATTATTAAAAATATAAATTTAATTTAACCAATTTAAAATTTACAGTGGAAAGACAGTGAGAAAAAATAAAATAAAAGTGAGAAACCCACCTCGTAATACATAGGGCATACGTCACGACTGCATGAGTCACATGAATTATAAATGATCCCAAAATTTCAAAGTTTTTACATAGTTTAATTACCTTTTTGACTTGATGATGCAGGGGGAAAGTAAAGTCAATCGGTTCACTTTCTGTGTGTTAATTCTATGCATTTTTCACCCACGTTATATATCTCTGTCCAGAACCCAAATTGTTAACGTGGGGTCCTCTTCAGAATATCACGTACCTCGAACGTTCTATACTAATAACACCTTCTTGCTCCGATCTCACCCAACCACACTATATATACATCAATCGCAGTGCAATAATTTCATCATCGGATCATCACAAAGGGCAATGGCGGATACCAAATTGAGAGGTTCTTTGCAGCGCCACAATGGAGAAGAGAACGAAGAAGAGAAGTTGGAGTGATAGAGAAAGAGTAATGCCGCCTTCGAGAGAGTATCAAGCGTCGCATCTTTTCTCGTATCCTCCAAAAAGTGACTGTTATCCTTGACGAAATGTTTCACTTCGTCACTTGATCATGGCTTGCTTTATGCCCCAACCCTTCAAGCATTGATTATAGTTCATGTGTACGCATGGTGTGATGGTATTGATACTAATGAGAGCTGAGCTGGGTTCTAAGTTCGTTGCTGCTTAAGATAAGTTTGTGTTCAATTACAGTTTAGACACAGGTCGAGTTGTCGAGAGGAGCTTATGTTAGATATAGTTATTATTGTTAAGCTTAGCCACGTTACACCAGTTACGTAGTTGATAAGACACTTTGTTATGAAAGGTTGGCCTTAAACATCCCTATAACATGTATCATCCGTCTGTGAATCATTCTCCGCTTCCTATCTACTTCCTCTCTGATAGCGTTGTTCTTCTATTAATGGCAGCATTGATTCCTTATATATAGCATGCTCTAATTCGATCGTTATCGTATATTATTTTTGGCTCTTTCAGTATTTTATTTATCATTAGAAGATTGGCTATCAAAATCTGTTTTCATCAATGCGAGGGGAAAAAAGGAAACTGTTATTTACTTTCCCAAAAGTATTAATTATGGCGTCAAGAATATCATCAGGGAGTCTTTCATCGAAGCTATAACATGTTTGTCTAATATAATTTATTTCATGGCTTTTAGCAAAAGAAAGAAACGCGTTTGTGTATCACATGTCGCCACTGAGAATGAAGGCTTTTGTGTGTAACTGCACGCTTAAGTACTCATGTTGTTTGCAATGCAGACCTTCCCAGAGAGATTAGATGCAGCTAGTGAATTATGGGTTCCCAATCACGCCGACCGTGAATCCTTTGCATGGATTCCTAATAATGCAATTTAAAACAACAAAAAGAAAAGCTCAGTCATATAGACTGCTCATGCTGGTGCAAATCTACTTACCCTAATGTTATATTTCTTATATTAACTATGTTTAAGGATAATATACTTCATCAAAATAATTTAAGCCATTTAATTAAATATTTTTTAACTTATATACTTAAAATCTATTTTTAATATTTAAATGTGAGACTTTTTTTGTATTTTAATATTCTCTTTATTATTTTTTTCTCTTTTTTTTCATTTTTATTTTTTTTAATTGGGCTTGTACTTTTTTTTAAAGAGGCTTCAGATTATTTAATTTTTTCTTCTTCTCTCTCTCTTTTTTAATTCTTATTTTTTTCATCTTTCATTCTTTCATTCTCTCCCTCTCTTTTTGTTTTTTTTTTTGTTCTTGATCAAATGACTTTGATAGCATATTATATTTTTTTATATTAAGTATGTTCAAATATAATATATTTTATCAAAATAATTTAAACCATTTAACTAAATACTTTTGAAACTTATATACTTATTATGTATCTTTTAATTTACATATATGAGATTTCTTTTATGTTTGAATATTTGAGAGTTTCATGCTGCTTCAATTATTGGATGCAAACATGTAAATTTGGTCTTGCCATTCTCGTGAAGACCTTGTCTTTACTATGAACTGTTGCCAATCTAATAGTTGCACTGAGAATTTCATGATGCTTCGATGGTCAGCGATGATGGCCACGTGTTAAAATCCACTATCTAATTTACAATGACGACAAAAACAAGCTTGGATGGTTGTGTCCAATATTAAAGAATTGCCAGAAGATTGTGGTGGGGCCCATGCCGCGCTTTCGCATCCAGTGGCAGCCACCTTGCAAAGCTTGGCACCTGAATTTTTATATGAAGAACCATCACTAGGGCTAAGCAAGATGGCACCATAAGAAAAATTACACACCTACGTTTTTCAATTTCTTTTCGAACAAATCCAACGTCTTGCTTGCATGTAAACGTCGCTTGTATTATCATTTCCATTTGGTGTAACGACACGTGGGTATGGTCCCACTTAGCAGGCAGAAGCCACTGCAAAGGATTGCTCCTTGAAGACGAAATCTGGAAGCGAGTATTAGTGCTTTTGCAGCTGCATACATGTTCCTTTACCCAGAAAGCTGCCACAGCGAAGTAAAATCTTGTGCTTGCGTAAATGCTGCGTAAGATAACAAGTCATGACTAATAAGTAACGCTTCTCTGACAAGAATATGGGCATGGTTAAAAAACTTATAAATGGGTTTTTCTAGAACCATCATTATACAAACCAAACGAGAAGTAAACAAAAAACATGCATATGTTAAAAATTTGTTTAACCTAAGGTGCGTGCAGTATAATCCACAATTTATACTGATGTAAGTATCACAATCACAGGTTAAAAGACTGGAGCAGTCTGATAAAGACATCAATTTTGAAATTAAACAGGTCAAGGGACATGTTCATATAAAGAAAAAGCAAAAAAAAAAAAAAAGGTAAGGTTATCCTAAAAGTAATACAGATATAAAGGCTCACTTTTTTTTATTTTTTGGTTTAATGTCTAAACATTAAGGAAAAAAGCTTACGTTAAAACAGATGCCAAACGAACTAAAGTCTAAAAGAAAGAAGCAAAATAAAAAGGGGGAAAACGAAAATTTCCTCGCAGTTGAGAAAAGTTAAAAATGAGATTTAGTCATCAATCCCGAAATGAAAGGAAGACGAAATGATGACAAAGCAACCCAGCTAGGCTTGCAATTAGACAGGTTGGTGATGACCAGTACTCACAGAAACAGTTCATGTCAAAAGTCAAAACTTGACACGGTGATAGGTTAAAGTTTTGCCCTCCACCCCGGCGCATTTTTTTGAGGGTTTTTTCCCCCCACCTGTCCTAGCCAAGAGTTGCAGGAGCAAGGGATAAGCTTCAAAGAGCCACCTAAAAGCCAAAAAGCAAGCACCGTTAAAAGACTAGTCCAAGGATCAACTTAGCGCCGGCTAAAGGTGACCTCCCAACTACTTCATCATGGGAGAATGCATTAGTTTGCTTTTAGCCAAGCGTAATGATTTATTAAGCCATCAAGTCATCGACTATTATCGGTCAGTTGCTTACGTAATGCAGCAAATTCCTATTTGGGCTGCTTAATTTGTGTCTTTATCCATTTGTCTGATCATTAAGTGATAGAATCATTTTGCTGAAAACAGATTAGCAAGACCTAAACATGAACGAAGGCAGTCGAACAGCAGCACAATCGATCAATGATGTATGTGCAGCTGGCAAACTGAAAAACCCCCACTGGCATCTTCTATCGTCATGAGAAGGATAAATTCTGATTGTCTATTTGGTGTCTCATGGTTGAACAATGAAACCTCCCCCCCGGGTTTTTTTTTTTTTTTACCAACGTTGAATAACGAAACCTGAACTGGAAGAATTCAAACAAAGAAAGAAAACACAAGAACAGTTACGTCAATTGAATTGATTTCTTTTAAAGAGTTAGAACGATATGTCTCTGCTTTACCCACGCTCCTTTTACCCTCTGATTTGTCCAACGCTGCAGCAATAATGAAAATTCAAAATGGTTTGCTTTTAAATTTAATCTTTACAGTACCAACTTTATATCAACAGTTTGAGAGTTCTACATTTGCAGTTGATGAAGGACGGCGAAGGTTATTCATGCTTGCGAACATATGGCAAATGTGAACGAGAACACTTGTGGCCCATGTTATCCAAAAGAACCTTTTCAGGGTCAGAGTGCCATCATTTTTTGGATTTTTCCACACAATCGTACCATCATATAGACCGAACCTGAGAGTTCACCGATGATGATCTTTAATCTTATTGGTTCATGCAAAGAGTAAAAAGGTACAGAGATGCTCAAACAGCGACAAAAATGCTCTGTAAATCATCAAATTACCTGTGCTATACAGTAAATAAAATTCATTTTAATCGGCGGGGATGAGATGATAATGATAATATCACCTTAAGGGGAAACTTGATCATTACTTTAAACTGTTTTATGAGCAACTCTGTTTGCAATTTCCATGCAGCACACCGTTGGGACCCCTTAATGTTAAAGGTGAAAGAAGGCTAATGCCTTGCATTGCCTCATGAATTATGCTAACCCCAACTTAAAAAGGTGAAATAGAAAAGAAAGGATGGAAAATGTATCATTCAGACTAACTTAGATATGTTCATTAATTTAATATAACTTAAATGATCAACTTGCAGCTATCTTGTTTTAGTAGCATCCTTGGCCAGCTTCGTCCTTCTTGGCCCTACTTTCTTATGATGGTATTCCACGCACCGCCGTCTTTCTCTAACCAACTCAATTCTTATTTTGAATCACAATCAACCAAAACCCACCCCGCCCCCCCTCTCTCTATAGGTATATATAATACCTAAACTTGACCCAAATGCCAAAGTCCACCAAACATACTTAAAATATAAGAGATAATGGCAGATGGAAGCGTCAACCTTCCTCCTGGGTTTCACTTCTCTCCAACGGATGAAGAACTTGTCCTTCACTTTCTATACAGCAAAGTTTCTCTTTCACCATGCCATCCTAACATCATCCCTGATCTTGATATTTCTGTGTCTGATCCTTGGGAATTAAAGGGTATGTTTCTACCTCGCCAACGATTTCTATATTTCACAATCACAATTAGACACGACAAAAAAGGCGTAATTAACCATCAACATATGCATGGATGAAACTCTAATTCTATAAACAGGTAAGGCGTTGTCAAGTGGAAATCAATACTATTTCTTCACCAAAGTGAACGAGAACAGAACCACACAAAGTGGGTATTGGAGAGAGATAGGACTCGCGGAGTCTATTGTCTCGGCCGTCGACAAGAAAGTGGGAGTCAAGAAGTACCTTGTATTCGACATAGGAGAAGCTCCAGAAGGTACTGAAACCAGCTGGGTAATGCAAGAGTATCTTCTTTGCTCATCAGGGAGTAACACGACATCACATAGAAGTAACAGAGGAAGAAAAAAACAGGTAAGTGGTTTTTCCCCTATTAAACCATTTAGTTAGTAGTGGTATCACAAACGGCAAATTATTAGACTTCTAATTGATCTCTGCTAAATCTACGCCACAGGATCAGAGCCAGAGCAAATGGGCTTTATGCCGCGTTTATGAAAGAAACAGAGATTCTCAACAAGAAGTGAACTGCTATGATGACGATGATGAAGATGACAGCAGAACAGAGCTTTCATGGATGGACGAAGTTTTTTTGTCGTTGGATGATGATCTTGAGGACATAAACCTGACTTATTAATAGAATGACGGTATATTTAGTCTTTAGATTATAGAAAAGAAGTCCTTGCATGATCAAAGTTCTCAGTTACATGTGTTTGAGTGGGAATCTAGCTAAGGCTCCATAACCTGCAGAACCTCTAGGTTAAACTGTATCTTTTTAGGTAATGGCTTTGTTGTCGCCTTTCCAACTTCCTGGTAAACCCGCGAATATCAGCTTTGTCAAAATGCAGCTCATTTAATTTTCTATCTTTGTATGATACCATGACTTTACTAACTTCTACTTCAGCATTTTATTAGCACATGCAGAAGATGTTACGCAATCAAAGTTTAAACGAAGCAATCTTACCATTTGGCTTAACCAACTTTGAGAGAACAAGGATAAACCCTAACAAAAGTCTCTACTCTTGGTTGGTAAATTGGATCTGGTTGATGCTCTGCCTATGGATATTCACTTTTCACTTCACGCAACAAAGAGACAAAAGCTGATCAAATGAATATAATCTTATATAACAACAGAGATGTCAATTAAGCCCAGTCCTTGGAGTCCTCTAGGCTGGACACTGTTAATCTTGATTTCACTTTAACAGTTATATTTTGGGTGGCTAGCCTTTGTAACATCTCAATTTAAATTTTAATAGTTAATTTGGGTTAATAAAAATTTAAAAAAAATAAATAATAATATTTAGAGGTAAGAAAATTAATAGAAAATGATTATTAAATCTAATTTAGGATATAATTCTAAAAAAAATTTATTAAAAAATTTATTAAAAAAATAATAAAAAAATATTATTAAATTATTATTATAATAAAAAAGGGAAAAGGTATGCAAAAAAAAAGAGAGAAAGAAGAAGGAAGAAAACATGAATGCTTTCGGCCGCCTCAATAGTAACAATAGTAAAATAAAATAATAAAAAAAAGAAAAGAAGAAGAAAGAAGAGAGAGAAAAAATAAAAAAAATGTGTGGGACCCACTGAATTTTTATAAAAACTCACCCGTTTCTTTTCGTTTCTTCATTCTTCATGTGCGTGAGCTGAGACTGAAAGAGCGTCTAGTTTCACCGTGCGGGAGATCTGAGTTTTTAAGGTAAAGTTTTTAATAGGATATTTAGGATGTGATTTTAAGCTTTTTAAGACTAAGTAAGTGTTCTAAAATTTTTCTTAGTCATCTTTTTCTTTAGTTTCTGAGTTTGTAGTGGTAGAAAATTTAAGATCTGGAAGAGGGATGAATTTATGTTGAATAAATATGATTTTTAAGGTTGTCAGTAGTATAATAAATGTTCTAGAGTATAAATTTATTGATGATCTTTGAATCTGTGTCTTATGTATCAAATTCTAAACTAGATCTGAAAATATATGTTGATTTATTGAGGTTTAGATGATTATTTGGGATGATAAATGAATTATTATGGTTATAGGATTATGATTCTAAGCTAGAGACTTAATTTTTAATTTTTGGGTATTTTAGGTACGAATTTATAAAATAAAAAAAAATTTTGATAATAGAAATTAGTTTAAAATTTGATTTTTAGATTATTAATGTTTATTGATAATTAAAAGAGGAGTTAAAAATTTTACTTAATAGTATTAACTATAGATTTGTATTAAGATTGAGATTAGGAATTATGTTATATTTTTAATTCTATTATTAGAATTATTTTATTAGTTTCAAAAATTGAAACTAATATTTATAAATAATATGTTATTTGTAGATTGTATTACTGGTGAAGATTGTGGTGAGAGAGAAATTTTAAGGAATAATTTATTGAAAAAGCCACAAGGTAACCATGCTTTTAATTTGTGATTAGTGTTACTTCATGTTAATTGGGTGATTATTGAGAAAATTATGAATTTTGTAATATTGTATAATTGTGCAATATTATTATGAATTTGTTTAATTATTGTGGGAGGTGTTGGGAGACTTGCTATTATTGTTGTATTTATGTGCCACGTGGTACGCCCCTATTGGAGCTCAATAGGTGGCTTGTAAGGGCTCGAGCTAATCTACCTTTGGCCGGGTAATTTAGCACCGAGTGAGGGCTACGGCTCGAGGTTAATGGAGGGATATAAGGATGGTTGTTTGTGTTTATTATACTATTTCTTATATTTGTTGGAATTATATTATTTTTAATTCTCACTTAGTAAGCACACACTTAACTGTTTGTATACACTATCATAAATTGGCTTTGGTTACTGGGACTTTTGAGTCTCATTATGTGTTAACAATTTTCAGGAGAAGAGCCACGAGTGACACGTGGAGGAGTCCCAGAGGCTTAGTGGTATAGATCCACTGTCTCTTTTGGGTATTTAATTTATGATTTATAATGTGTTATATTGCCAATATTAGGGCTTTTTGTTTATTGTCAATTATATGAATATATAAATGTAATCATGCTTTTCAAACTATTTCTATTTTTGGTACAATTTAGATGACTGTAATTTTAATATTTGGTTTACTTTGGATTGGATTAAAATGGCATGATTATAAGACCAAATAACTGGCTTGTGTTGAAAATTGACTAAATTGCTTATTTTACTTGTTGGGAGTATAAGGATGGACAAATGTGATTTAGTTTACTTGTTGGGAGTATAAGGATGGACAATGTGATTTAGCCTAATGGCATGTGGGAGGTAAAAATTTATATGAAATGTTATAGTGTGTGAGTTGAAGCCAATTATAAAATATTTTATATCAAAATTATTGATATAAAAATGTGTTGGGTGGCTGTAACCCAACTATGGTTGAGTTAAATTATTTAAAAAAAAATTGGTGTGTTACAGCTTGTTTTTTTTTTCTTCAATTTTTTCAATTTAAAATTTTAAAAAACATATTTAAAATCTTAAAAAAGTTATTACGCATAACATTAAGTCTAGCATAATAAATTTAAGACAATACACACAATAATAAATTTAAATCTAATTAAAAGTATCAACATCACAAAATCAACACAGATAATAATTAAATTTTACTAACATCATTAGTTAAATTTGATAATTTTTATTAACATCAACATCAATATAATTTGATCCTTTTTTTTGTGAAACCTCATCAGCTTATTACATATAACATTTAGTTTTGTAAAATTTATTTTTATATTAATTTTTAAAGAAAATTATAAGAGGACTTAAAAAGGCTAGCCCTTTTATTTTTACACCTCAAAGAAGCAATCCGACTTTAGAATTTTTTGGCCTTAAAAGAGTTAGCCTGATGAACTCGATCCTAATTAACGACTCTATATAACAATGAGACCAAATGAATAGAGACGGTTTTACATATGTGAGATCCTTTAGCAAATGTATGCTTAGAGTAAAAATCAAAGCAAATCGGCACAATAATTTACGAGCCTCCTGCCTATTTGGGAAGACATTATAATTGATTATAAGGTCTAAATAATTAATTTTTAGAAAAAATTTCAAAACACAAAAAAAAGTTATTAATGAATTATTAAGTCAAATCATATTTTAAAATAAATTTTAAAAGGTTACTTATAAATTCAATTTTATTGTTAAATAATATATTTTACTTCTTAAATAAAGTTTAACAAATTTAATCATATTAAATATAACTTTATCAATAATTTAATTTTAAAAAATAATATCTTTTATGTTAATTTGTACAACTAAAATTAATTTTAATATCCAAACAGATTATGTTAGAATATAATTAATTATAATTATAACAAAATTAATTATAATTAAAATTAATCATATTAATTATTATTATTATCCTAATTAAAATCCAAGTGGCTCCAAAACCATCTCATCTAGTAGGTTATGTATCCTGCAAACCATCATCATCAACCGGGGAGAAAAGCATACAAAATGTGGCCCCGCTATCGAATACAGTAATACCAGTGGACTTGTATGATTCGACAAAAAATTTTGGCCGATTGATTCTTGATTTTCTTTTCTTTTCATTGTTCTTCTAAAATCACGTATGATTGCAAGATGGTCCTTGTCATTGATATAATAAAATATTGAAGAAATGGAAAAATTGAGACGATAGTCTTGCTGAATGCTGATGCTTGCAGCACAAACTTAAATATCATAGCATTCATAAATTATTATTTTATATCACGAGTCTATAGTATTTATTCTATATTAAATTATAATATATTTTTAAATAAAAATTCACATATCAAAAAAATATATTGAATATATTTAATAACTTTATGTTTTTAAAATAAAAATATAAATTTTTAAAAATATTTATTATTATAATATATTAAAAAGAGTAAAGATAAAAATTAATTATAGAAAGAGAAATGATAATATTAAAATTAATATATTTAATAAAATTTTAAAATTTATTTAAAATATTTTATATTTTAAAAATAATTTTTTAAAAAAATATTTTATAATTTAAAATAAAAAAGTATTTTTTAATTTCAGTAATTGATTATAAAAGGCAATTAAAGAATTTCATCACGCTTCGGGATGTTTCTTGGGCGGATCCTGAATGGCTCTATTTTTTTTACCCGACTATTTTCCCAATATTTATCAATTTTTAATTGGTAATGTAAATGAATCTGAAAGCAGATACTTGTACGAGTGATCTGACCACCCCCGAGGCGGCTAGACGCTCTTCCGCTTCATCTCCATCTTTGGCGTCCCCTCTGATTGGTGACCGGGTTATCGGTCATGGCTTTATACATGAAGAAATCAACGACCATCGTCGGCCATCTCAAATCAAAGATGGCCTTCATGGCTTCACCTCAACGAGGCTTTTGGAGTTCTTCGAACCCTCACTTTTACCGGAACGCCCAATATCAGCCAAATTTCAGCAACTTGAGTAATATTCGCCGATTTGAATCGACGATAGCACAAAATCGTTTGAGTTCTGTTTGTGCCGATGAGAATCAGGTACTCACTGCTAAACTCCCCGTAGGTGCAATGTATAGCAACGGAATTTGCATTCAGCATATTGCAGACTCCTGGAAAGATTTTTCATTTCAGCGAGTCTAGAAGACCATTTTGCGTCTTGAAAATTTTCATTTCAGCGGGTACTAAAGTTTTCTTCAATCGTTACCCTGACGAGAAAAATTCTTAATGTTGGTTAGTTATCAATTAATCTCACAATTTTTTTAATATTTTTTAATAAATTAGGGATCTTTTTATCACTTAATTTATGTTTGAAAGGTATTTTTACCTTTTAAATCAAATATTTTATAATAAAATATTAAAAAAATATAATATAGTTCCACTAACAATTAACTAATAATAAAAAAAAATGATACAGTAATGACGGAGGAAATATTTATAATTGAGAGAAAGAAGATTAAATCATAATTAAACTTAACTTAAGAATATTTGTGTCTTTTTCTTATAGAATTTAGATAAAAAAATACACTTAATCCTTATTATCATTATTTTTGGCGGCTGAGAATATTTATCCTTCTCCTTTTAAAAAACACAAAATCATTTCGTTAACTGCCCTCTTTTGTCTACGACAAAAAAGCCCTCATTTTTTTTTGGGTACAAGCCTCTTTTGACTATTTTGAAATTTTCTATATCTCTGGAGAGCCCAGACTCTAGAGTCCGCTCTGGACCTGTAGTTCGGTTGGGAAAAAAAAAAAAAAAGAACAGTGTTGGGGTGCCCCCCCTTTTTTTTCCTTTTGTCTCAATAGTCTATGGATTGAGTCTAAGAGGGCATTTTATGATGTTACGTGAAAACGAATTCTTAAGAGCAAGTTACTGAAGTTGACAAAGCTTTGGTTCAGTCAATCATCTTTATAAACTTACGAGATACGATCTGCCATTGTTTCTCACCTGAATTTGAATTTTTTTGCTGATCTTTCAGGCCCTTCTATCATTAGTATCTCTCTCTGAAATTTCAATGACAGCATTGATCGTCTTTAATATGACTTTAGCAATGCGAATATGTTAAGAACTACCATAATAAAAATGCTCTCTTGCTTAGCAAACGCGCTCTGTCCCAAAACCGTGTTTGACCCAGACTCGCCTATATGGTCCTTTTGGATTGGGGAACCAATACCATGTAGGACATATTGTTGGAGCACTAGCAAACTGGCAACTGCGTGATGAAGCGAAGTGCGACAAATATTATCATTCAAACCGTTAAAAAGAACCTGTTTTCGTTGCAATGCGTGGATAGTAAACAGTTCATGAGTTTCTCATGCACTCTCTGCATACAAAATCATCATGCCAAAGGGGAATGTTTTCACACTAACTGTATCTGGTCAGGTCTTGGATTTTCCCGGAGGATCAGTGAAATTCACACCTGAAATGAGGTTTATATTTGAATCTCCTGAGGAGAGAACACGCTGCTACCGGGTACTTGATGACAATGGACAGCCAATTCTGGGTTGTAACCTTGACCAGGTCTCTACATCCCCAACCAATCATAGGATCAGTATTTTCTTTGAAATTGCTACAAGTGAAGTAAAGGATAATATTATAGAAAGAAACTGATGGACGTCAATAATACTAGGTTAGCATGGAAATTGCTGTCAAAATGTATCATAACATGGCTACTCTTCAAACTATGGACACGCTCTTTTATGAAGCACAAAGACAAGGTAGAATTTCTTTTTATGCAACAACCATTGGAGAAGAGGCTATCAATATCGCATCAGCTGCAGCTCTCAGCATGGAAGACCTAATCTTCCCTCAGGTTACAAGTGCATTCATTGTACACATTAAAGGAGACCCTTTTTTTGCTTCAATCTATGTCTATAACTGGAATTTATTCTATACCCTTTTTGAGGATTTCTTTTATTAATTTACTGCCTTATCTAATTTGAGTAAGGATGGAAGTGATACAACAGTAATACTGATTTCGATTACATGCAGTATAGGGAACCTGGAGTCCTGCTATGGCGTGGTTTCACTTTGCAGGAATTTGCCAACCAATGTTTTTCCAATAAATATGATAATGGGAAAGGACGGCAAATGCCAATCCATTATGGGTCTAACCAACTCAATTACGTAACTGTAGCATCAACAATTGCGTAAGTATCTGAAGCTTCTTTACTTATGCATCGGTGCATAAAACTTTTTTTTAGCTCATCACTCCTCTGTATTGAAAGTTGCAAAAGTGCCTAACTCATATTGACGTTCCAGGTCACAACTTCCCCACGCTGTTGGAGCTGCATATTCCTTAAAAATGGACAAAAAGGATGCTTGTGTGGTCACTTATTTTGGTGATGGTGGCTCAAGCGAGGTAACTATATAATTTCTGTCGTGTAAGAGATGTATTTATTAAGAGAAAGGTTTAGGTGACTAATACACCACATGGAGTAAGAACTTGTATCTGGTTTTGTCAGCCCTTCCAAGGAATGTAGCCATAAATATCACTTGTGGGCTAAAACTCAGCAGCTTTAGTGCTTCCTAACCTTTTCTATACTATTAAATTGGGTAAAGGTGCATTTTTGTCCTTGAAGTATTTTTCAAGAAGCGTTCACCATCCTAATATTTTTGTTGGAGCAATTTTGTCCTTAACGTTATCAAAATGGAGCATCTTTACCCTTTCCGTCAAAATTCCAATGTTGACCTCAAACATTGCCTATTAAAAAGTCTGACGGAAACGGCAAAAATGCTCCGTTTTGATAACGTTAAGAGCAAAATTGTTTCAACAAAAATGTTAGGGTGTTCAGTACTCCTTGAAAAATACTTTAAGGACAAAAATGCAGGTTTACCTTGTTAAATTTTGCACTGATTTCTTCTTAAGTAAAACCTAGACAGAGAGGTGCAATAGTGTATGTGTGTGTGTGTGTGTGTATATATATTTTGTTGGCTTCTTTCAGCAATGAATGATCGTCAATAACTGAAGCGATTTGATCTTATTCAATATACTCTAATAGATTGCATTGTTAGGGAGATTTCCATGCTGCTTTAAATTTTTCAGCTGTTATGGAGGCTCCTGTTATTTTTATATGCCGGAATAATGGATGGGCTATTAGCACACCTACTTCGGATCAGTTTCGAAGTAATTTCCTTACCCTTTTTTAATTGTTGTGCTTTCTCTTTGGTCAAGTTGGTTCTAAATGCAATTGGTTTTTGTTTTCCCTATATGCTTAGGTGATGGTATTGTTGTGAGAGGGCAAGCATATGGAGTTCGCAGCATCCGTGTTGACGGTAATGATGCACTGGCGGTTTACACTGCTGTTAAAGCTGCTCGTCAAATGGCAGTCAGTGAGCAAAGACCAGTTCTAATTGAGGTAAGGTGGTAACTTTTTTGGCTGCAGCAGCATGTGATGTGAAGATATTTTAATGTCAGACCAATGATATGTTTGCTTTTCCTTCGAAGGCCCTAACATACAGAGTGGGACACCACTCCACATCGGATGATTCCACCAAGTATCGCCCAGCCAATGAGATTGAATTGTGGAGGTTGGCACGAGATCCTGTGGCTAGATTTAGAAAGTGGATTGAAATAAATGGCTGGTGGCATTGCGAAGCTGAATCAGAACTTAGGAACAGTGTGAGACAGCAGGTAATATTTGCTCCCCAAGAAACTTCGGCCAACTATTGATACCTGTTGTTATACTGATTTAAGTTTAACCCAATATCAGGTGTGATATCCTGCTTTACGTGGTGCAGTTTGTGCTTTCATTTTAAGATTTATGCCTTTATATATAAACACTCTAACAAGCCAGGCTATTCTTAAACCATAAACGATGTATTGGAGATGAAAAATTGCCTCATTATTGTTTTTCCTGCTGCAGCTACTGCAGGCAATTCAGGTGGCAGAGAAGGAAGAGAAACCTCCACTTGCAGAAATATTCTCTGATGTTTATGATGTCCCTCCATCCAACCTTCGCGAACAGGAGAAATGGCTGAGAGAGACTATTAAAAAACATCCACAGGATTACCCAGCAAATGTTTCATTGTAGTCATGGGCTTTTTGTTCATGACATTAATTGCTTCTTTCGATACTGAGCTTGGCCTCGAACTTATATTCTTCATGTTTGTACTGACCTGAATTTAGAATTTGGGAAAGTAATAACAACATGCCTTAAGCTAAGAAGCCAGCAAATATGGTAGTGAGTACCAAGTTTGCAAAATCAGATGTCCCAATTGGCGTGAACCACCATCACGACAAAACGAAACTCCTTTTTGGCTTCCTGTTAAGGTGGAAATTGATTCCTCAATGGCACGGTCTGTTCAAGATTTCTCTGCATTGAGTAAAATATTTACTCAAGTGCTGCACGTAGTGGTATATGACTTTTGAATCCTAGAACAAGTGGCTTATAATTACAGTTCAAAAACCACCGACATAGTGGACCCGTTCGTTGTTTCTTTCTTTTCTGAAACGAGGCGGAGGGAGGGATGCAATTGGCAAATTCAATGATGGAGGGAGCTTGTTATTGAAGTGTGTGAAGCACAAGAAAATGTATTGGAAACATGTAATGATTAAATTCTTTGAAAAACTTAAAAGACGGAATATGCAAAAGGTTCATAATTTGATCCTTGAATTGTTAATAAAAGCAAACTGACATAAGTTACATGAAACGGTCATCTTTTTTAAAAAATGAATACAGATGCACTGTCAATATGGCGTGTGAAATGCGCCACTAATATATTCTGGTTTTGCCTTCGTCTGTGTCCTTGGTGTTGTTATTCAAGTTATGCACGATTGCTGTCTCTGTCAGAACTCAGAATGTTCAAATGTTTCGTTTGACCATCTAGATTCAAGTTGCTTGGTCTGGAGGACTACGGATGGATTTTAAAAAAAAAAATAGTATAAATGTTTGTTTTTAATACAATCCACTTTTGCCAGTGGAGGTATATATAAAACAGAATAAGAAAACAACTAATAGAAAAGGTTCGAAAGAGAAACCTATTACACGGTTTTTAATGCAGTGACTTTTGACTTACATAGACGTTCAATGGAAACGTTATTTAAAAATGTGTCTAAATTTTTTCTGTACGAGCTTTACATATTGCGTGCGCATGTAAGCTTCAAAATGAATAATTGATTGGAGGGGTTTATAGATATGTTTTTCTTAACTGGCCAGAATTAAAAATAAATGGCATCGTCAACATTGGTATTAGCATTAGATAGTGGAGCTTGAAATAATATTCCAATGGCAGACAAAATAGTGTTCAAAAGCCCCATATTTCCTCGCCGAAATCTCTATTACTAATAAGTGAAAGCTTTTGTCATTTTGTTGTTTGGTCTCTTTCTCCATTCCGTTTTCTTCTTCCCTGCCGAACTTACCTGTTCTTCTGGGAACATTAATTTAGACTTCGTTTTCTTGCCTGCTCACTTGACAAAGATGTTTAATATTCCGTCTTTTTCTGTTCATAGGATAAAATTATTTAATTTTCATATATCAATTAAATTAAGGTTAAAGTATATTTTTAGTCTTCTAATTTTATATAAGATTTTAATTTAATCTTTTAATTTTATAAAGTATATTTTTAACCCCTTAACTATAATATTGTTAATTTTAAATAATTATTTTTTATGTCAATCATTATTATTTTAAAAGAATTAAACATAATATGTCAATATTTAAGAATATTTTGTCAATATTTAAAAATTTAATGTAAAAATTTGTTGGGATGAAACTAGTAATAATAGGGTTAAATAATTAAAAAAATATTTTATAAAAATAATAGATTAAAATAAAATTTTGTATAAAATTAAAGGACTACATATATAGTTTAGCCTTAAATTAATTTAACTATTCTATGTCTTGAGCCTGCGTTCATTTTGAAGTTCAATCCTTATTTAATGGCTACTTCATTTGTTAACTTTTAACGAAGAAAATAACATTTATAACAAGTCCTCTCATGCATTCAATAGAGATGTTTACGAAAAAAAAATATTAAATACTCCTCAAATTTATAATTTGTTTTATGAATTGAAACAAGTTATCCTCCAGACTTTTCTCACGTATAAATGAAAAACGGAAAGAGTACTAAGATTTGGATTGATCCGAAAGAAATGGACCAATAGTTAATTCTACAAAGGATGAAGCTTTCCCTTTATTGTAATTTTCTTTAATATATCCTTCCTCTCAAATTATAAAACTTTGTTAAAGAAATTTTTTTATCTCAAAATATAAGATAATGTAAAAAAAAAAGGTTTTATTAATAATATTTTTTTAATTACCCTTCAATTGGAAAAAAAATTAAAATGATATAAATTATAAACTAAGTGTGTTAGAACATTTTTAAAAGTTTATATTTTGTTAATTTTTTTTGTAAAGTATCATTATTATATTTTATTAATATGTGTAATTTTGTTTTGAATTGTCTTATAATTTATGACGAAGGGAACATTTTAAAGTTTAGTTATTTTTTTTAAATAACTCCTTTTGATCTCTATTATAAGACAAATTTAATGACTTCATTAGAAGTGATTAAGTCATTAATTTTATTTAAAATTAAATAATTTTTCAATTTTAACCTCATTTAAATAGAAAAATTTTAACTTTAGCAATTTTCATTACATTATCTCTTATAATTAATGAGTTTAAATATAGATAATGTTGAAAAAAGATATATATAATTAGCAACCATCAAATGCATTATATTAAAAAAATATTTCTAAATTAAATGACATCCTATAGTAGAAATCGAGAATATAATTCAGAATGAAGTGCACCTATCTATCCATGCATTGATGATTGGCTTGAACATGACATTGTTAGAACATCGTAATAATCACAATGGAAATATAATTATTCTTTAAAATATAAATTTTCGAAAAAATTTAAATAACAAATTAAAGTTGTGATTATATATTCCAACTAAAATGTTTATAACTTGTCCTGTCAGAATAATATGCATGGAAACAAAATTTTATAATCGAGTAGCTTTTTAATTTGGAGTTCAATTCTTGACTTAACAGCTAGCTAAGGTATAAAGTTATTTGGCAAACCGTATTTACATGTATGTTATTGAATATTTAAAATATTACAATTATATAATTATATAATTATATATCACAGGAATGAATTATGAATCTTAAAAATTTTCTATAACTATGATGTAGTTAAATACATAAAAATAATAGGATAAAATATAATTTACATTTTTATTATAAGGGAAAGTGTGAAAATGTGATGAGATGAGGAAACGATTGGCGATCGATTAGATTGAGGATGATGGATGGGTCAAGGGAATCGAAATGGTGGGAAGGCCCAGTAGATTGAATAATTGAAGAGTTTAAGACTTTGGGTAGATTGAATAAAGAAGAGGATGTATGTATACTGTACATGTGAGATGAAACGAAACAGTGGAATGGAAGTATTTGGATTGGAGGAGTCAAAATGTCAAACCATGCAAGCTAAGACAGGAAGACACGGACACACAAACAACATCGGATATTGTGTTTGTGAATGTGGGGAATCCATTTCAGATTGCCTCGAATGCTTTCCCCATCATCATTGATCACTATTATTATTATTGTTCCTCAGTCCTAATAAATTGCCTTAACTGCGTTGCCTGACTCATTTCTTCAAACCTCAGATTCTTCCAGAAAATTGCTTCACAGCCGCCTTTGTGCTTGTCTTTCTGCAACGTGACTTCCTTCCCCGCTTCCGGCCCCTTAATTCGCTGCCCAAGTTTTCAAATTTTATATTTTTTATGAGTAATGCATTATTTTCCCAGTGAATTACAGTTCCTTTGAATGTGATCTCTTTCTCTTTGTATAGATTATCATCATCTCGTTTAAAACACCCATGCTAATTAGTTAAAATGTTCCTCGGATGCTGGCCTCTTTTTTTTTTATTATTATTATAAAGGCTAGAGAAAAAACATGAAAAGGATATCTATCCTAAAACCTGGTGCTTAGCCGATATGTGGAGTATTAAAAGCAACGTAAGTGGAGTCAATTAATGTAATGAGCCTGGTGATAGTAGCACGCAAACCAAATCATCAACACATTTGTTGCAAGGATTTAAGAATAAGGGAGGTTAATGTTAAAAATATATATATATATACTACTATAAAGCTTTCATAAATTTTAGAGAGTTAGAAACATGTAATCTCTATATAATATTAAAAAAATTAAAAATTTGGGGGCGTGTCTCCTATCTTTTATGTCCTTATTTGTTTTTGTTTTGTTTTTTCAATACATGCTTAAAATTAATTAGCCTATCAAGCACGATGAAATCTTCAATTCTATCAATTGTGCTAGATATTGGATGGTTAGTGAAAATTCATATTGAACAAGCTTCAAAGCCTTTATGGCATCAGTGTGAACATTGACTTTTTCATAAATTTAAATCCAACAGAGATTTAATCCATTAATGACCTATGAGAGATAGCCTAATTTTTTTGAAAAATCCTTAATCCATGTCCCATAATTTTGAGTATTGCATTAGATCCCTACACGTAATAGATCTTTTCCGATTTATTAAACCTTTAACATTGAATTTGATCCAATTAAATTGAGATGAAATCCATTTTAAACATGTGTTCATTTGAGTTGACTCTAGAGTATTTACTATAGTTTCCAACTTGGCATGCTCCATCGCTTTTGGGTGTTGATCATAAATGTTCTATTTTGATTTTCCTTCATCGATATCAAGTAAAGCTTCGAGCACTAGATTTTCACAAGGACAGCAATTTTAAGCAAATTGAAGAGTCATCCTTGCCAAGATAGGATCCAATCTCTTGAGCTTCTTCTCTCGTTCCTAACATAACATTATTCAAAAGAATCTACAGTAATGAGAGGAAAGTGTCATGTTCAAATTGATTAACCTAACTTACCCAAACTTCTCTAGCTTCAACGCAGCCTCCGAAATGTGAAGAGAAACATATTTTACACAATCACATTAATTTTTCACACAAGCAGGTGTAAGATATATACAATGTTCTTATTACTCTTAGGTCCAGTTTGATTGTTATTAGGGAGGAAAGAAATATAATGAATTAAAAATTTAAAGGTAAAAAAAAATGTGAAGGGGATATATAGGTAAACTATATTTATATGGAAGAAATATAATTTAGTTTATAAAATTGAGAATCATAATTTATAATATTTTTAAAAAATGAGATAATTCTCACATTTTGTGATATATAATATTAAATTTTATTATGCTTACTATGAAGGGGAGGGTAATTCACTTTTATTTTATTTTTTTTAATTTCTTGCATTCCGATTCTTTATAATAACCAAATAAGACATTAGGTTAATTAATATATATTATATATTGAAAGTTCATTCTTTAAGGCCTGAGATAGGGCACGTTAACCGAAGGTTATGTTTTATCAATTGAGCATACAATTGGGATGAGAAGTGCAAGTAAAACCCGAATATAAAAGATAGAGAGACGATTGCATATGTGAATCGCTCATTTTATTTCCTATTCGTGTACTAGACAGTGGAATCGTGTGCGATTAAAAAAATAATAGGACACGTACGCCAACACCATAACATAAAGAAAAGAAGGGAAATCATTTTCTAAAAAGTGAGACGTCTTTAACTTATAATAATTATTGATTACTAGTAAAGGACGAAAGGAACTTGAGATGAAATGAGAAGGTGGCCATGGATGCGAAGCGATCTGAGTTGATAATAATTTGACAACGTGCAATGAGCCTGGTTAAGTTCTATTTGTCAATTATGAGGGTCCATATATACATATAGACGCATATGTATATCAATCACATTCACATACACAAATAATGTATATTTGGCAGTTATTAATCCTATAATTGATGTTTGGACCAAACGGATACACTAAGATTATGGCTTTCACGCAGCGACTTGTTATTTAATTATTATCAACGCACCAACCCATCACATAGTGATTTCCTTCCTATTACTGCCCCTCCCATGACCCTTATGACTACCATTAGTTTCACCTCATTCTTTTATTTTTTTGCCAACAATTGCATTTCATCCTTCTATTCATTAAACTGCACCAATCACAATTTCAAACTGTAAAATAGTATAGTACTATTAATTTATATATGTTACCGTCTATATATGTATATATTTTATTTAATAATTATAATTTTCATAAAACAAGAAAAATTCTTGGACCCAGCTGCTACTAAATTGCCCCTGAAATTTATATGTTTTTATTATTTAAAAAAAAGACCTGAAATTGATTCTCCTAAAATACAGGGTGGAGGCAAAAAACTAAACTTTTGGTTTTTCGGCAAGTCAAGTAATTGGTGGATTCAAACTTGAAGACATAATAAACAATGATTTTTATCTTTTGGTGGGTCAGTTTGACTGGACTGATGTGGAGTGAAGGAGAAAAGTGGGGACCATCCCCCACAATTATTCTGCATCATTAGCGGCCAACCCACGAGATGACGCCTGTTTGGCCTTCTCCATTTTCTTCTCTCTCTTTCTCTCCCCCTCGTTTCCCCAAACTAAACTGAACCCTCGCACTTTTTCTCTCTCTCGTGAGAAGAAAACGCTTATCTGCTCCTCCTACCATCACTTCCACTTCCCATTCTTCTTCTCTTTTCCTTCTTTAAAAAATGGCATGTTAACTGTTAAGTCCCTCCCCTGCTTCTTTAGTCTTCTCTGTCAAATACTTTTGTACTCCATCTCCTCTGTCTCTCGCCACCACTTTGTGCTTCTTCTGTCTCCTAGGCGTTATAGCTTAAGCAACCCCGAGATAAAAGTTCGCTATTTTCTGACACCCCTTCGAATGCTTGTCTCTTCTTGTATTGCCTCACTTGCTGCTTGTAAAGCTTTCAGCTTTCAGCTTTAAAAGCTCTGCCTGTTTCTGTCTGCACCATTTTCTTCTGTTCATACCCCAATACTGGCATAAATCTTCAGTTTTCTTCCATGAACGAAGCTGAAATGACGATTCCTCACTTGTTCAGGTGCCCAATCAGTCTAGACTTGTTTGAGGACCCAGTGACCTTGTGCACGGGCCAAACCTACGACAGGTCCAGCATAGAAAAATGGCTTGCTCAAGGTAATCTCACTTGCCCTGTCACAATGCAGAAGCTTCATGATCCATCCGTCGTCCCCAATCACACTCTTCGTCATTTGATCGATCAGTGGCTTCAATTGTACCCTCAATTTGACCAATTTGATAACTCTAAAACTGTTGATTCTCTAGCCTCTCTGAAACGAACCCTTCAATCTCAGGAATCCACCTTCCAGAACAAGCTCCAAGCGCTTGAAAACATCAGGCTCTTATCTGATGAGTATTGCTCTTTCAATAAATCTTGCTTCCTTCAATTAGGTTTCTTGCCTCTTCTTTTGGGACTGGTTTTTGGAGCTCAAATGTCCAGAGAGCATCATCACATGGAGTTCATAGAGCTTGCTCTTTCTTGCATTATGAAGTTGTTAACCCTTGACAGTACCTCAGAGCCTTTAAATATGCTCAGAGAAGAACCTAAGTTAGAATCGTTTCTTCTATTACTCGAAAAGGGCAGTCCCAATGTTAAAACCAGTCTGTGCAATCTGATAGATTCGGCGGCAGCATCACATTTAGAAGATGTATTGGTTATGCTCGGAAAATCCCAGAAACTAATCAATGAAATTGTTCATCTTGTAAGCCAAAATAACTGCGAGGCTTCCAGGGCTGCAATTAAAGCCATATCAGCGTTATGTTCCTTGCAAACAAACAGAGAGAATATGGTAATAGCAGGGGCAATAGATGGCATCATGAGGTACGTTTCAGGATGTGAAACAAGAGAGAAGAACTTGGCTCCATTGGGGATGGAGATAATAGAGAAGCTTCTGGTAATAGAGAGAGGCAAGGAAGCATTGGTTAATAGCCCAAATGGGATTCAAACTTTGGTGAAGATGGTCTTCAGAGTGAGTAATCAAGAGTGTAGCGAGAATGCAGTGGATCTACTGATGATGGTGTGCAGAGAAAGTGGGCGAGCAAGAGAGGAAGCCATTGAGGGAGGAGTTCTGACTCAGTTGCTTTTGCTTCTGCAGAGCCAATGTAATGCGAAGACGAAGGCGAAGGCAAGAATGCTTCTCAAGTTGTTAAGATCCAAGTGGGCTGAGAAAGTACCAAAACAGGCCTAGTTCATTTGTGAACATAAATCACAATGCGCTTGTTTATGTGTCAATATATGTTTGGCCGTCTTATCGTAGCTGTTCCATATTCGCTTGTTTCTATTCGCTTTATAATCTGTGAATTATTTTTCATTGCCCAAAAATTATTCATAAAATGATAATATCAAAATCCAGTTTTTACATCATTAATCTGTCATCAGTGCAGTCTGATGAATTCTTTAGTTTATACATGCCTAATTTTGTTAACACATAATTTTCCCTTTGAAAATCTTCTTTTAGAGGCGAGAATGAAGAGGGGAGGACCTGAAGCCTTTTTTTCAGCCGAATGAAATTGAGCCTTGCTTGACCACCCCAATTTTTTTTTTTTTTGTCCAAAGAATCGTGTAGGTTTTGGGACTGTTTAGAATTTCTGGTGCCTGAAAAGGACATTCGAGCCAGCAACTGTATCAAGTAGGGATTTTTTTAGCCTTGTAAAAAACTTAATAAATGATTTGTAGACGTCATCGCTTTCTAGATATTTTATGTTAATGTTGATATTGCCAATTTTTAGACCCTTACAAATTAATATGCGAGGGAATTTGACTTTGAAATATGTAAAACAAGACTAAAAAATGGAGCGGTGTTGATTAAGTTTTTTTTTTATTTTCTAAATAAAGATTTTTGGTAAGTATAAGGAATAAATTATGTTGAATAAAAAAATCTCTCTCAAAGATACTAAGAACAATGTACAAATCTCTTTCAATTAAATTATTAAATATGTAAGAGCTAGGGTTCGAACTTTTAATTATTCATTTAAGTGACAAGATGTGCTACAACATATTCTATCTGTTTTAAATTATAAAATATTTTTAGATAAATTTTACATATTAATAAATCTTATTAAATATACTTAACAACCTTATCTTTCCCAAATAAAAATATAAACTTTTAAAAATATTCATCATTTAATGTATTGAAAAGAGAAGAGACAAAAATTAATTATAAAAAGAGAAAGGGTAATATAAAAATTAATGCATTTAATAAAATTTTAATTTACTCAAAATGTTTTATGTTTTGGGATGGATAAATTCTTTTAAAAGTGTCCTATAATTTAGAATGGATGGAGTATATCAATTTTAATTGGTTTTTCTGAATAAAGTTGAGAAAAGTATTTTTTTTAATGCATGATAGCAAATTTTTGTTGACCAAGGACCTTGATCCAAATATCTCCCATTAAAATGAAAGAGGATCTTTTTTGTCAAGTTGGGAAAGTTAAACGCGACATGGTGACATTATCATATAAAATTGTCACTTTACCTTCAACTTTTCATATGCTTTCAAGATTAAGGAAAGGAGGAGACGGGAGAAAAAGGGAGGAGTCAAGTAAAGTATTGCCTTTCCTCTAAAGATACTTATATCAATATTAATTTATTTTTTTAAAGAATTGTGTTATTTTCAAATTATAAAGGTAAAAATAACTTTTGATCATTGTATTTTACTCGCATTTTACTTTTAGTCCTTATATTTTTTTGAATATTTTAGGTCCCTATATTTTTATTTTTTATTGTTTTGGATCTTTCTAAGGTTTCTATACTTTATTTATAGAGGGATTGAAAATAATAAAAAAATAAAAATATAAAGACTTAAAATATTAAAAAAATATAGGAAAAAAATTAAAACGCAAATAAAGTCTAGGGTTTAGAGTTTACCCAATTATAAAATACTTATGACTTTAGCTAAATATGCGGATCTGTCTAGTTTCGATGATATTCATTACTTCTAATGACATTTGAATCTTTATATTTATTTTAGATGGTCTGAATTTAAAGTTTTTTATTTTTATTTTATATTTATCAAAATAAAAATTTATACAAATTATTAAAAAAATTTAATAAATCTATTCACCATCTATTTTGATAGTACAAATTTAATTTGAATGATTCAATTTAATATTAAATTTTTTATAATTTTTATAAATTGATAATCAAGGTTTACTTTCAACTGTTTAATTCATTTTTTTTTTTACTTAAGTGTGACTCATATTTGCTTGTCTAACGTTGCATTCTTTTTCTTTAGATTTTCTAGTTCCTTTCTTGTGATACCGAGTTTTTCCTAACACAACTTTATCATTGCATTTAGCTTGGTTATTTCTTCCTCTTACTTCAACAACTCAGTAGCTTTATCACTTGTATGCTAATTTTTTGTGTGAAGAGTTTATGTTCTGAACGTTATCAATCATAGATAGAACCCTTTCATCCCCCCGCTTGCAATTCTCTTCCTCCAATTGGTATTCGTGAGTGCAATGTTTGCCACTAGTTCAGCTTCAAGTTCTTGGTTCTAAAAAAATTAACATTAAATTTGAACCACTTAAATTAAATCTTTACAAGCCTCCAAACAAGTGGTATTAGAATAGAACTTCACTCTGGTACCATTTAATAATTTGGTCTCATTATTTAGTGACACAATGTCATAGTCATCAATATAGGATATGATGTTAAGCTGCATCATGATTCTGTTTCGTGATAGCCACAAGACCTCCAGCATTTGCACATTAATTTACACTTGAATTTTAATGTCCTGTCACACCAAGTTTTCAAATAGACGCAGCAAATATTTGCATCTCCAGGGACACATGAAGTTCCTCTCAAATTGTTGTGGACATTTGTATTTTCATTACTTGTCTAGCTATTTTCCCATGTTGATGGAATACTTTTGGATAGAATATTTGAAAGGCCACAACTAAGTCAAAAAAATTTAATTCTAAGCTTTTCAAAGTAAATCTTGATTGTTAATATATACAAAATTACAAACAAATTTTAATATTGAATTTGGACCATCCAAGTTTAATTTCTTATCCTTGACTCTTGTAGCTATACTTTTTCTAACAAATGGTATCAAAATAGAACTTGGCCTTGATGTTATTTAACAATTTGGCCTCATTGTTTGGTGGAACAATTCCATAGTCATCAATATAATGTTCTAATATCATATTGTTATGTTATATCAATCCCATGATGTTGAGGTGTGTTATAATGTTATGTCTCGACAACGAGCTCCCATAAAGAATTACCCATTAATCTACACTTACATTTTAATTTCTTGCAACATGAAGATTTGGAACATTTTTAATTTCATTACTTGATTGACTATTGTACTAGTTTGATATAATACTCTTGGATTGAGTATTTGAAAGGTTACACTTGAGTCCAACAATTTTAATTCTAAGCCGTTCAAAGTAAATCTAAGATATCAATTTTTAAAATCTATAAAACATTTTAATATTCAATTTTGACTATCCAAATTAAATATGTGATTTTTGATTAAATTTTTTAACTATTGACTCCTAACGACTAATATTATAATAGAACTTAATAGAGCTATTAATTACGACCAAGGTTGTCAAATCGGCTTTTTTGAGCTTGAAAAAATTTAAGGTCAAGCTACTTATTTAAAGTGTAAAATGATAACTCAGGCATTAAAGGATTAGCTCTTTTAAGCTCTAAAATAAAAGGGCCAGCCATTTAAACCCTTTTACATTTTTTTTTAAATTTTAATATTAAAAAGATTAAATACTACACTAATTCTAAAACTTTAGCTTCATTTCACGAGGATGAAGAAAAAATATATAAAAAATTTAATATATTTGTCATTGATAATGCTCTACAATGAGAAGAATAAAACTATACTAATGTTGATTATAATGAAAATCATCAAGATTTAGTTGATGATGCTAAACAAGTCTAATTATTATTTGTGTTATTTTGTGATGTTGTATGTTTTATTAAACTTAGACTTGTTGTTATGTGTATTGATTTAAATTTATTTTTCTACACTTAATGTTATGTGTAATAACTTTTATGAGATTTTAAATATTTTTTTAATTTTTAAATTAAAAATAAAAAATATAAGGTCAATGCAAGGTTGACCAAAATGAAAACCTGAGGTATAATTGAATTTAATAAAGCCAGCCCTTTTAAGCCCAAACCCTTTATAACCAACCTGACCTTAATTGATAATTCTATAATTTATTATGATATTCTTTTAACAATTTGGTCTTATTAGTAGTTGAAGAACTATTTAGTCAACGAATATAAGATATGATATTATAAGGCGCTTAGTGATGTTGTATCCCAACAACCACAAGACTTCTCACGAGTGATGTTACCCATTAATCTGAACTTGCAATTTAATGTATTGCCATGTAAAGATCTCAAAAAGACGCGGCAAATATATGCTTCTCCAAATGCATTTGAAAGTCCTTTTATATTGTCTGGATGTTTTTAGTTTCATTATTTGGTTGATTATTCTCTCATGTTGATAGAATACAGTTGGATTGAATATTTGAAATGTTACACATGAGTAAAAAAATTAATTTTAAATCGTTTTGAGTAAACATGACTTGTCAATTTATAAAAATTATAAAAAAAATTAATATTAATTTTAAACAATCCAAATTAAATGTCTCGTCTTCAACTCTTACGATGATAAATCTTCGAGCAAGTGGTATTAGAACGTAACATACTTATGATACCATTTAGCAAATTGATGTCATTGTTTAGTGACTCAATGCGGTAGTCTTTGATATAAACTATGATATTGAGATCTCTCATGAGGTTTCTCTACTACCACAAGACCCCAAGCCCCCCCCCCCCAACAGTGTTGCCCATTGATCTACACTTGCATTTTAATGTACTGCAACATGAAGATCTTGAAACAGACACAACATATCTGCTTCTCCAGAGATGCCTAAAAGTCGCTTTAAACTGTCATGGACATTTTTATTTTCGTCGCTTGACTGACTGTTCTCCCGGGTTGTCGGAATACCTTTGTATGGAGTATTTGAAATGTCAAACTTGAGTTAAAAAAATAAAATTAAAATTAAAATTAAATTAGGACAGTCTATTTATCGCAAGGGTGATGAAATTCGTCTCTACTTTTGGAGATATATATATATATATATATATCTATATAGTCCCTCCATTATAAAAAAATATAAGTTTGTTTAATGGGACAAGGGGAAAAAAGTTAAACAAGTAAATCTGGTTTAGTTTGAATTTGAATGTTAAATCTGCTTCATTATAGAAAATGGATGGATGAATAAAAAGAGAGAATGAGGAAGCCCAAAGTAATGGGAAAGTAAAAGTTGGTGATTTATTTGCATTAACTGATGTGATGGAACTTGAAAGGTTTCATGGAATCTCTTCCT